AACAACCAACATGTAAGGGCACATATTCATCCTATGCTATGCAGGATTTTCCAAACTCCTTTCTTCCAGGACACCTGTGGAGTGCCAGCAACGTGCTTCACTCCGTGCGGGAGGAAAGGAAATGCAAACGGAGTCTGCTGAAATTACAGCTGCTAAATACACATGGTGGAAAAGAAACACCAACAAACTTTGACCATAGGGGCACAGGGTGGGGAGAGGACTCCGCCACAGGCCTTTGTGATGTCTGTTTCACATTTTTCTCAAATACCACTTGTAACTTCCAAGCACGTGTCACCTATGAAATGAAAGTCTGGCACAGTCACAGGCAATCCATCCATACTTTGCAGGTCCATCTGCTGCAGTAAGGAAATTACTTATTTTAGATGCTAGTTCGAAGGGGCTCTGATTCACAGCCTTCCTCAGTGAATGTAACAATGCACAGTTGGGTTGGCTGGGGACAAGAAGATGGCCACTTCCACCTTCAGCACAAGCGCAGCACTGGAAGTAAGCATAACACTGCCTCCATGTAAACATCCATTGAATGGACTCACTCCACTACCACCGGGAATGACACGAAACCATCAGCTTAATACCCACCATGCGTGTGTAGATATCCTCGGGTAGGACACTTCAACCGGCACTGAAAGCTTATCTAGCTCTTAGGAATCCAGTGCCAGGTGTTCCTACAACACTGGTGTGTACCTTGTCACAGTACTTTAAGAAAGACTCCCCTGTCCAGTCACACCTGTAATCCCAGCACTTTAGAAGGCCGAGGTGGGTGGCTCACCTGAGGTTAGGAGTTTGAGACGAGCCTGGCCAACATAGCGAAACCCTGTCTCTACTAAAAATATAAAATTAGCCGGGTGTGGTGGCTCGTGACTGTAATCCCAATTACTTGGGAGGCTGATGCAAGAGAATTGCTCGAACCCAGAAAGGGGAGGTTGCAGTGAGCTGGGATTGCACCACAGCACTCCAGCCTGGGCAACAAGAGAAAAACTCCCCCTCAAAAAAAAAAGACTCCCCAGTCAGAAAAAGTATTAAGGTCAGTGTCAAAAAGACATCAGAATAAATTAATAATTTTAGTCTAAAAATATTAAAACCCCTGAGGGGATGCAATCAAAGTTTTGGAAATCACAAATGTACAGGAATGGTGACTACTCGTAAATTCAGAAGACTAAAACAAGGGATTAGGACATAAATTTCTTCAGATGTAAGTAAGACAAATACAAAAACAACTAATTCAAACATGAAACTCATTACTCCTAAGACAATGAAGGCTTTAAGAAACTCATTACACCTAACTGAATGAAGTCTTTAAGAAAATGTTAGAGGAGTTCTCAGCTCAGTAACAAGTGATTAGGGGAAAGAACAGCAGGATGTCTGCAGGGCCAGGGAGGCAGAAGCCAGAGGGGAGTGCCCTAGAAGTGAAAATGTCGAACCCTCCACGGTAAGCAGGTGTCTGTGAACCTCTTTATAGTACATTATGTTACAGTTCAGCTTTCTCCTTTGGGATGCCAGTGTTCCCTCTCAAGCACTTTTTTTTTAAAGTACTTCTAAAAACTCTCTGAATATTGTTTTAGGGCCAAGATATAATAAACTTACAGAAAAGATTGTACATGGTAGCATTTGAGTGGTTTGTGTTAAGTTCCAAAAACAAACCACTTCCTAGAGCAGAGGTGTTGATGAATCACGTTGTAAGACTGGAAACAGCAGCACCCGAGGGGAGGCCCACTGGGACTCAGCCACAAGTTCTTGGCTCTGCTCAGTCGTTTGACTCTGGGCAGGTCACTTCAGTCTCCACCTCTGTCTCTGCCTCTGTGAGGCAGGGGAGGAGTTGGACCAGAAGACACTTTTCAGGTCATTACCACCCTTAAAGTGCTACGGTTTAATTTGGTCTCTTCAGAACAAACACATGCAAGTCAATTCCTTTACTTATTTTCTAACAACGCCGTCAATCAGAAAGATGTCATTGGCGCTCGATTTTGCATATCCTTCTTGTGAGTGTTCCTGGAAGTGTTCATTACCTCCTTGACCATCACTCACACGGTCTTCCCTGCAGTCGTAAGGCAGGAAAGCCTTATGTTCATGTAATTCCCTGAACTGTGGGGCTGGGTCATTAGCTTTCACCAACACAACTCTCTCCCCACCTAGTCCTCTTCACCTAGCCGACTCTTGTTTACTCATCAGAACCCACTGCAACTGACGCCTCTTCCAGGTGGTCTTCCCGGATTCCCCACACTCCTGAGCATTCTGTGCCTACCTCTTCAGAGCACTCATCATGAGGTAGGGCAGCCACTGGATGAACTGTACACCTTCCCACCTGAACTCCTTGAGATCACAAACCACGATGCATTGAACTTTGTAATCTGTGACGCCTTGCACATAGTAGGGACTCAATGAATAGTTGCAGAATGAATTGGTTATATTTTGAATATAATCAAGTTACCATTCCTTTGAAGTGATCACATTAATCTAGAGCCAAAAATCATAAAAAATCCACTGGTACCTAGTAATGGGCTGAACTGTGTCCCCCGCAAATTCATATGTTGAAGTCCTATGCCCTAATACTTCTGAATAGGACTGCAATTTGGGCCAACGTTTGTAAAGAGGTGATTAAAGTAATGTGAGGTCATTAGGGTGGTTCTCAGTCCAATATGACTGGTGTCCTCTCATAAGAAGAGACTGGGTTGCAGACATACAGAAGGCGGCATCTACAAGCCTAGGAGAGAGGCCGCAGAAGAAAGCAACCGTGTGCACAGCTTGCCCTGGGACTTTCAGCATCTCAATTGTTGTAAAATAAATGTTTATTGTTTAAGCCGCCCAATCTGTGGTACTTATTATGGCAACTCTAGCCAACGAATACAGGCTATAATCTTATTCTGTATAGAATATGAAAAAATGTATAATTTACCATCTTTACCAGTTTTAAGTGTACAGTTCAGTGGTCATAAACACATTCACATTCTTTTTCTCCCCCATCACCTCCTCCCCTTCTTTCCCAGTCTCTGGTAACCACCAATCTACTACCTTCATCTGATTCACTTCTTTAGCTCCCACATATCACTGAGACAACATTTTTTAACAGAAAAGTAATATATCTATATGATGTGTATGCATGTGTGTGTGTGTGTGTGTGTGTGTGTGTGCATGTGCACTTAGCTTTGTACTGCCAAGCAGACAATCTGCTAGATTTTTCCTTGGCAGGCTGCTCTGGCATGATTTAGATGGAGCATTTCTCTGTGGAAGACAGGGCCCACTTCCATCTGGCATCTCCCTATGCACTAAAGTCAGAAGCTTTAAACTGGATTCAAAAGAAAGAGAAAGAGAGAAAATGAAAAGGAGAAACCACCTGGCCAGGCCCCAGTGTCTGCTGTATGGGAGGAAAAGGAAGGCTTTAGGTTTGAACCGTCAACCTACTGCCTGCAAAATCTAGCAGGCTTTCCAAGGCTTCCTTGGAGAGCCCAGATCCCTGTGCAGGAGGCCCAGATTCTGCCCCCTCTCGCTATCCCTCTCCTATGAGGAATGCAGCACAAGTGTTCATTGTGAGAGAGTGCCTAGCACCACCCGCTCCCTGCATGAGCTCCTTCTATAATACTTCAACTGCACCCTGCCTCCACAACAACTATACTACGTCACTGTCACAAGGACAACTCCAGCTCTGCAGGTCTTGGAGAAGACCTGAAAACTTCAAAGTGAGAAAGTGACATTGCCACTTCTGTTTACTGCATTGGAATTTTATAGAAACTTATCTACCTTGAGCCTGAGAGAGCCTGAGGTAGCCAACCACACCTCAATGGGCACCAGTCCAGAGCCAAGACCAGTCATCTCAGGGCTGAGCCCAGTGAGAACCAGGGAACAGCAGGGGAGATGCACAGTCAAAAAGGAACACACATCCAGGCACCACCACAATGGGATGCTGGGGCAGAGAGGAAATTTAAGACTGCGCATTTGCCCCAAAGAGATGGATAATCTCAGAGACTACTTCCATCTGGCATCTCCCTATGCACTAAAATCAGAAGATGATGATGGAATTGGATGATGATGGATTGTTGTTAGTTGTGTGACTAAGGACACATGTACCTAACCTCTCTGACACTTTAACAAATGAGGATTAAACTTATAGGAGTATCCTAAGAGTTGAATTAAAAATTACGTAAAAATATGTAGTGCAATGCCTGACATGTAGAAGATTTTTATAAATGTTGGCTAATTGCTAAGTAATCTGGGTAAAATTTTTTAGGTTCCTGATGGGGAAAGATTACTATGTAAAGTTGGTTGTAAGAAGACTGCTGCCAAGCAGTTTAAACTAGTCATGCCCAATCATCAAAATGTGTATTTTCAGTTTGGCTATTTGGAGCTTAAATGTAAGCCAGTGCTTTCTAAAGAGATCTCTGAGAGGTACAGGTACCAGAATCATCAACGATGCTCAGTCCAAATGCAGGTCCTTGCCCCTTCTCCCTGCACCCCCTGCCGGGCTCCTGAATCAGAATCTTCGGGAATGGATGAACTTCCACCTTTTTACAAACACTTCTGAGGTGAGCTTTATTACGCTGAAGTTTGAAGTTCCAATTAGAATCCACAGCACTTACTTGAAGTATTTGACCATTTGAAAGAAGGAAGAATAATTCATTTTTTCCAATTTTGAAGATTTCTAAGCTAGCCAAAGGAAAAGCTGTATTTTTCTTTGGGTTAATAGCCAAGTGATTCAGGAACACAGCCTCTGGGGCAAGACTGGACTCAAAACCTGGCAGCTCCACTCACTAGCAGCATGATCTTGAGCAAGTAACTCAGCCATGCTGGCCTCAGTTTCCCCATCTGTAAAATAGGTAAGAACAGTACTTCCCTCACAGGGTTGTTATGAAGCTAACATGATTTATTACTTGTAAAGCACTCAGTCCTGTAACTGGCACATACAGAGTGTGAAGAAAAGCTTAGCTACACACCAGTGAGAAGAGATTTCTTTTCTCCTAAGAACGCAAGTTCCACTTGAAGTAACATACCTTAACTTTGGAGTTCTCTATCAAATGCTGAGCCATGGATTTGATCAGTACATCAAAGAAAAACCATGAATACTAAAAGAAAAAAGAACAGGACCCAGTAAGAAAAACAAGAAATTGGTAGTTAAGACGTAAACTCTCTCAGGCTGGCAATGTTATTGACATAACGCAGGTGTGACCCTAAAACACAGCTGCACCTCTTGGTACACGATGATCAGAGCCAAAAAATGAATGGCAGGCGCCTTCTGCTTGCACATGTTCAGGAGCAAAGAGCTGCATCCTGCTGGGAAACTGGACACCTGTGCTCAGCGTGGCACAGCCAGCATGAGGCTATGTGGGGTTACGGGTGTAGGCTTTCCTCGTCACTGACCTCTGCTTGGTGAGACCTGTCTTTAGCATCTGTAAGTCAGTGACCTTCACTGATTTGAATATAATGACTGTTAATCCTCAGGAGCCAATGAAACTCTGAACACAGTGATGCTTTGCAGCTCTTCTCTCAAAACACAATTAGAAAAGTTGGTATCAGAGAACAAACTCTGCTACCACTGTTTAGGGGGTGATGATTGTCTCTAAGAGCACTCAGAAAGGGTACATTGATCAGCCTGTGCAGTGAATTCCTGTTAATCAGTTTCAACACGAAGAGCCACGCTGACTCTCCTGACATACCTTCAGTAGTTTGTTGCTGGTGAGAAAATCGGCGGAAGGCTTGAGAATCGTGGTCATGGATTTGGTCAGTTCTTCATGCACTGTCTTGTATTCAGAGGCAACGTACGGCTCAGCCTTATACGCATACTTTGAAGAAAATGGAAAGAGACTTTAATGCACTTGTTCTCCAAGATGGGCTGAAAGCTTAAGAGGCTCCCAAGAATGGAGATCAGGGACTGAGATACAGTCTCATTTGTGGGAGAGGAAGGTATGGATACAAAGACGGGAAGGATGAGTCACGTGACGAAAAGGAGTCCAGGATGTCTTCAGGGAAATATGAGTCATCCAACCTGGTCAGATCAGTGACCAGCCAGCCTGTAACTCCACCTATGCCAGGGGCTTCAAGGAATGCGGGGCACAACAACAGGTGACTGATACCCTAAAGGATCAGAACTTTTCTTTTTAAATTATCACGTAGTTATAATTTACAAAGGTATCTAATACTAAACAGAATATGTGCAACTGTTTAGAACAATAACTGCCACTCTACTCACTGGATGTTGTAAATAAATAACTTGTTGATGTTTATCCTAAGAACATCTCTCACTGTCCCAGAGAGTCTTCTAATTCGACTGTAGCCAGAGCTAACCTTCCTATCTGGGAGAAGCAGTTGTGCTGGAAATTTTAGATGGAAAAAAGAAAAATGAAGACAGCTAACTTTACCAGAGGCCTAGCCAAGAACAACTTAAAAGTCTTCTTTAAACTTCCACATTGAGTCATATTATTTGGAAAACCCATTAAAAAAGTGTAACTGAAGGAATGGAATTAAGGAAATTAATGAATGGCTGCCCCTCTTCGTACCCCTCTGTTCAGGTATAAGTGTCGGCTATGAGGAATAGAAGAGAAAGCGTAAGTTACAAGTACATCCCAAAATAACCAGCACTGTGACAAAGTAAGGCCTTAGAAGGAAAACTGGAGAGCCACAGATGTAAGTGATCAGAACAGTGTGTTTTACATACCTTAACATATGATCTCAGGTGACTCTCCAATCCTTCCTCATGGCACTGGGCAACCACATGAATAATGACCCTACACACCACAGGAGTGAATAAAGCAATGAATACGTAAAAATGGAAACATTTCATTATTATCACAGCAGTAGTAGAACAATGATGATGCTATCGGAACTTAGGCAAGACAGAGACAAGGAATTAGATGGGGTCCTTACATATGGGACCAAAGATATTTCTTAAATATAATGTTCAGCACCTAGCAGCATCCCGCCTATGCATGAGTGTGCTCCAGATGTGGACAGACTGGAAGAGAGGACGAGCATCCTTCCATCCGCCTCCCTTACCGAGTCACGTTAACTGCAACTTCCTCCTGGGTGGCTCGGGTGAGGACTCGGAACAGCTGGTTTAGGATGGTGGGCAAGAAGGCGATCATCACGTGGCCTTCCATTGCGTGCAAACTCTACGGACACAGAATGGCAGAGTCCATGTTATCCTTCTAAAAGGAAACCAGCCCAAAGTCATTTCTACTCTGCTCCAAATAAGGAAAGAAGAACTCCCTCTAAAACAAAGGGAAGGCTGTGGTGGGCAGAATGCCCCCGAGGCATTTGTATCTTAGTCCTCAGTACCATGAATACGTCACATGGCCCATGGGAGGTAAGGCTGCTAGTCAGGCCTTACATAGCAACTATCCAGGGCCCATGGAATCACAAAGAGCCATTAACCAGAAGAAGAAGGCAGAAGGAGACAGGAGTCAGAGGGAGCTGGGATGGAGGAAGCAGGGTCAGAGAGATGCTGGGCTGCTGTCTTTGGGATGGAAGGAGGGGCTTAAGCTATCACATAGAAAAACTTCATTGTTTATGTGGCTGTGTCTTACATTTTCCTTGTTAAACCAAATTTCTATCCCATTTCTCACATTTCTTGTTTCGTCTCCATGCCCTTGTATTCCCTTTCCAAAATGCTCCCCACAAGCACGTTCTAGATGAAGCTCCCCTGGACAAACCCTATGTGGCTCTTGCTGCTTAGACACAGGACCCGCCCCCACCCTCCGCCCAGCCCCTGCACAAAGCTGGGACTGGTTATATGCATTATTTCTTCATTTGATTTACCTGCCTAGCATGCAGTCACCAAGTTTACAGTATCTCCTACAATGAACTAGAAGTTCCCTACAGGTGAGGACTGAAGACACTACTTCTGTGCCCATCATTGTGCTCGGTACCCAGGGAGGTCCGTGTCAAATGAGGGTTTTCCACATATGAGAAACATTACGTTTCAGAGATCCTGACTTGAGCAAAGGTTACATGGGACTAGGACACAGGCAGGAGTAGCGCCGTTCCTAGGTCCACTTCTTGCTACTGTCTAAACCACAAAGAAGCTACTGATGTGAGACATCCAGGTAAGAGCTTTCTTACAGTAGCTTCCAAGGGGTGAGAACACCACTTACCACCAAAGAGAAAACCCAACCTACTCCGAACTCATTTAAAATGGGATACTAAGAAAGCCACGTGATACCTTAAGGTACTTTACAAGTTCATTTCCTAAGGCTTGGGCTCCAGATTCGGTTTTCTGACAGTACTGGAAAAAATTATGTAAATGCTGATCCTGAGGGGGCAGAAAAAGAGAAGAAGAAAGTCTATTAATATATACACTGTGGAAATAGAAGCATTTGTTTCTTGTAGCATGCTTTTTTATCCATGTATGTATTTATTTTTTGAGATCGGGTCTTGCTCTGTCGCCCTGTCTGGGGTACAGTAGCAGGACCATGGCCCACTGCAGCTTTGACCTCCTAGCCTCCTGCAGTCCCCACACCTCAGCCTCCTAAGTAGCTGGGACTACAGGCATACATCACCACGCCTGGCTAATTTTTGTATTTTTGTAGAGACAAGGTTTTGCCATGTTGGTCAGGCTGGTCTTGAACCTCTGGCCTCAAGTGATCCATCCACTTTGGCCTCCCAAAGTGCTAGGATTACAGGTGTAAGCCACTACGCCTGGCCTCATCTTATTTTTTTAAGACTATAAAATTGATCATGTAAAAAATAACATCAATAAGATCCTCCAACAAAAGAGGAAATCTGTTGAAAAATGATACTTGTAATAGTCATATATATGAATATATATGAATACCTCAGTTGTACTTTCTTTAGAAAAAGACCTATAGAGTAAAAATATAGTAATATAAAATATTCTTGCAAAATGGTGCAAACTTAGTCACAGAACGGCCACTGCTAATTTTGTTGAAGGAGCACATACCTGAGTATACACTGTAGAAACCAGATGAGTGGAAATTTTCAGCAGTGGCTTGCCTCCATCTACCCATTTAATTTCTGGACCATAATGCTAAAAAAATATGGAGGAAACAGTATCCCAACACATTAGTTACTTTGGCTCTAATATGATTATCAACGAGGGTACTGATGAGGGACTGAAAGAGGGCCCAGAGAACTTTAGTGACTTGGCAACTGTGCTGGGCCCACAGCAGGGATGCAGCTGATACACATTTCTGCCCACTTTCCTCCCCCAAAGTACAATGCTTTTCTTACTGGATTTTCTAAATTATCTTTTCTGTTTCTTTGCAGCTGTGTGAGTTATTGTTCATTTGAGAGGGAAAGAATCCTATTATACTAGTATCTGAACCCAACTTGAGCTCAGGATTTTGACGAAGACGGTAAAAAGTGCCAGATAAAGCAAACAGGACAATATGCAGGCCTGGCACAGGCAAAGGGTCAATTGTCTGCTCATGCTAATGTCAACTTCTGAAACCTCCATTTTTCTGTCATGCTCAGTTATATAATTTATCCCTCTTTGGGAAAATTCAACTCTTTGTCTATAATAGGAATGCAAATTTGGCATTATTTAAATGCAGACAAACATAAAAAGAAGAGACCTTATTTAGCATGTTATAAAGCTGCAGTCTATAAAATGCAAGACAGTTAAAAAGAAGGCAAAGCCAACAAACCAACTGAAGAAATCTGGGGAAAATTAGGTTTTCGTGAATCAGAAAGGTTTCAGAGTGTGCAACCACGTGGGTGAGAGATTTGGCATACTTGACTTACCTTAAGCTGGAGGAAAATTCCTAACAGTTTGCATGACCCTAAGAACTCATCTTTATTTGAGCATGGCCAGTTGGCAGAGACAGACCTTATCCCAAATCTCCAGCTCTCTATTTCTCTGCTGAGGCACCGCTAGTTCAGAGCTTACAAAATGCCAAACAGCAACTGAGACACTGTAATAACTGTGAACAGCATCGTCTTCTAATGGCTGAAGTTTAATTGAAAATTAGTAACTTAAAATCAAAACGGTGGAACAGCAAAAATACTGTGTGCTTTTTTGTGTGTGATTGTTGTTTTAGCTGTTCTTTAATGTTTTCTGAAGGAATTGGGATGAACCGACCTTAAAATGTGACATACCCTGCCCATCCCAAGCTCCTGGTAGCCAAGGTAGCCTGCAGGAAGGTTCGCTGAGACCGGGATGTGCTGTTCGCTCGTCACCACCCTTCCATCTTTCAGGAGGGGAAGCCAGGAGTAGCCAACTGTTGAAAACCAAGAACAACAAAACACTGTGAGTGTATGAAAGCTAGTGTAATATCGTCTGATTTTTAACAACTGTTCCTATCAATCAGAGTAAGACATTTAAAATGACCTAAATGTCATCTCTGCAGAACGTTGTCTACAATGTACTTAGACCTCTTTGGGGTTAGAATTCTACAATCTTTTTTTATAAAAATTTACATATGCAGGCTGGGCATGGTGGCTCACACCTGTAATCCCAGCACTTTGGGAGGCCGAGGTGGGCAGATTGCTTGAGCTCGCAAGTTCAAGACCAGCCTGGGCAACATGGCGAAACCCCGTCTCTACAAAAAAATAAAAAAATTAGCCAGGGAGGGGGGTGGTGGTGCATGCCTGCAGTCCCAGCTATTTGGAGGCTGAGATGGGAGGACAGCTTGTGCTCAAAAATTTAAAAAAAAAAATTGTATATGCAAACCAGACATGTTACATATCCATTACCTATAAAATCCATCTAAAAATCCCTTCACAAAAAGATGTAAATTCAGAATCCTAATACAATTGAAGAACATAATGTTTCAATGATTTAAAATCAAAGGAATGATGAACCACCCCCCCAACCTTGGGTTTCAACGACATCCCTCTTCTTCGTGCTTCCTTTACTTGAGTTGTCACAGCTGACGTGGAAGAATGTGAGCAGCAGGTGGTGCTTCTCATGCAGCTGAGGGGGCAACTCTATTTTAATCTGCAAGGAAGACAAAATAAAAACAGAATATTATAAAAACACAGAAATCCTCAGTGGAAGCAGAGACATTATGTGTTACCCAGCTCACAAACGTACATTTGTTCTCCAAGCAGATATTAACATTTGCACTCAAAGATACTGAAACTATAAAGTGTACCAAGAAAAAATGAATCCTGAATTCACCACTCAGAAACAGGAAGAGAGTTGATGGTATTTCTAGGAAGAATTGGAAAACACATGACAGTAACTACTACGCTAAGTTACCACAGCCAAGGCATTATGAAGAACCAGGATAAAACATTGCAAAATAAGATGCATACAGTAGTTTCAATGAATTACATTATAATTTTCTGTAATCAAATCCAATTATAAGAAAGAAAGATTCTCAGGTCCAAATATAACTTGCTTCAACAAATATAACTAAAGCATGAATTTGTAAGGAAATATACCAGAATATTAATTGTAGTGACAGTGGGATTATGACTTTTCCTTTTCTGTATTATCTGCATTTCCTAAGTTTTCTATTTTTCAATAATGAAAATGTTACTTTTACAATCAGAAAAATATATATAAAAGAAATACTTCATCATGCAGTTCTATCTCTGTAATTTCAGTAGAATATGCAGCTTCTCCTGAATTTTGCAGGCATATACATGAAGGTTTCCCTTAAAATTGGTCAAATTGGGTGTTCCCTTGAAAACATCATTTACCTCATCATAAAATTCTGGGTTTTGGTGATGGTGCAGAACTGCAGCAAAGGCGCTTCTTGTGAACACTGGCCCGCCAGGTCTGCCATAAATGCACTAAAATAAGAGTCAGCAAAGGGAAAAATCAGGGTCCGATCAATGGAGTTAGAAATTAAACTCAGATACCTTGTAAAGGAGGAGGCATTCCACAGCATAGACAACATCACCATCTCCAATGGACCCCAGGCCTGTGAGCCCCAGACTGCTGCGTCCAGCCCAACTTCCAGCTTGCCTTGAAGCCCACCTGCCTGCTCCCCTTCCTGCCCGTCCAGGTCACAGCCCTAGATGATGGCTAGCTCACTGTTCACTTTCACATTTCTATCCCTTTTCTTACGCAGTTCTTCTGTCCAACTAACCTTTGCTTCTGCGTGCACCAAGAAAACGCTCAAGCATTCTCCAAGAAATTGTCAACCCCTTCCATGTGTCCCCTCAGCATTTTTCTGTATTAATTTTCAGTTTTGTCCAAAAATCCATTTCATACCATCTGTGCACCAAGATCTTTTTCTCCACAACTGTTTTTCCCACTAAACTAAATTTCTTGAGGACAGACACTATAATATATATATATATATATTTTTGGTGGGGGGGTCTTTGTCTCCTTCTCCTCTTAGGAAGTCACTTTAACATAGTCACAGTAAAACAATTTGAGTTTTGGAGCCAGATCGCCTGAGTTTGAATCTTGGTTCCACTAATGTTTTACTTTAGGCAATTAAATTCTGCACTAGTCCCCTCACCTAAAAAACATGTATAATAATAAAACTTAAAAGACTAGTATAAGAACCAAAAGGTTCTCACTAGAGCAGTGCCTGGAGTACCAACAGCTTTCAATAAACATAACCTATAATCTACTGCTATGATTATTACTATACTATAGTAAGCATTTAATAAGATCATTGATTGTCAGTTATTATTTCTATTATCGACATTATTCATAATTCTTAGCGCCCACAGTATGAGCAGCTGGCTCATAGTAGGTGCACAGTAAGTGCTGAATTGAGTGTGTATAGAAACTTTTATCCTTAAAGACAATAGAAAAGTCAATTAGGAGCAAGAACCTAAATATTCCACATGCGATTAAGATTCAGCATATAGGTTCATATGTTGTAATGTCATATATTTTTTGTGTCAATTAAAATGTGCTAAATTGTTTGATTTGTACAGTATCATGAAAGTGCACTTTGAAATGGAAAAATCAGAATATGTAGGTGAACATACATTATAAAAAACAAACCTTAAGGGGCTGAGAGTCTTCCTCATCTGAATCTTTGAATTCAATGCAAATTGCAATATTTCTAGCCTGCAGCAACAGGTAAACAAAACAGAATAAGAAAACAACAACGGAAAGTCAGACTATGTAAATATTTATAAAAGAACATGGGAAACCAAATGTAAAGGGAGAGTGTGACATCAGGAATGAAACCTCCATCTTCATACTCACCTTGGCAAAAGACTTCTGACTGTCGTATTTCAAGTACTTAGGATAAACGTAAAGGTGGTTGGTGTAGATGGTGTAAGGCTGAGTGTGCTTTGGTATGCAGGGCACAAATTCCTCCACTTCAAATGTGATGGGAGCTTTACTGCAGGTTTCAAATTGTTTTGTGGGGATGTATGATGAATTCACATAATCTGAAAAGATATTCAAAATATTCAAACTGAAGTAAAAACCAAACTAACAGAAATTCTGTCTATTATGTAGAACTGACACTTACTAGGGAAGTCTGAGGAAACATTATCAATTGTAATGTCGAGATTGCCTAAAATCACTGGGAGTTTAGCCATCTTCTCAGGTCTGCAAGCAAAAGAAGAGAAATTCACACATTTACAAGTTAACTCTAAAACCTATACTCCAGAGCAGTACTTCCAAGAGAAACATAAAGCAAGCCATAAAGACAATTTTAAACATTGTAGTAGCCTCATGAAAAACAGTAAACAGGAACTGATAACATTAATTTTAATAAAACACTTCAACCCAATAGATCCAAAATATCATCATTTCAGTATTTAATCAGTATAAAAATGTGCACTCTAAGTCTTAAAACCAGATGTGTATTACAGGTTTTATCTTAAAGCACATCCCAATTCAGACATCCTGTATTTCAAGTGTTGAACAGCCACACGTGGCTAGTGGCTGCCGCGCTGCACAGTGTAGGTCTAGATAAAGAATATCAGCAACAGTCACAGCTCAAGTGTTCCTGAACCACTCCAGCCTCACCATAAGTCATTGGCTCACTGACATCATCACCATTTGGGGAAGCTAAGCTATGAGGATGCAAAGGCATAAGAATGATACAATGGACTTGGGGGAAACGGTGGGAGAGGGTGAGGGATAAAAGACTACACCTTGGGTACAGTGTACACTGCTCAGATGATGGGTGCACCAAAATCTCAGAAAACACCACTAAAGAGCTTACCCATGTAAGCAAACACCACCTGTTCTCCAAAAACCTATTGAAATAAAAAATAATGAAAAATACAATCATCACCATTCAGAACTAGAAATTATCTTAGGCTCCAGTGTCCAGCAAAATGCTGGGTATAGAGTCGAAGCTCACTGACATTGTGGTATTAATATTTGGTCCAACTCAATCCAATATAGGAGTCCCTTGTGACATTCCTGACAAATGCTGCTACTGCTACACCCTTCCTGGTGACAATGAGGCTTCTGACCCAGCGGTTTTGACACCAGTCTGCTCTTCCTCATAGCATAGTGAAATTCACCTCCCTGAAACTTCTACTCACCAAGAGGTCTAATGAGGTTCCTCTATCTTTCAACTACCTATACCACACATTCTGAAGCCCTGTATTCTCAGCACTTTTGCACCTTGCCCCAATGTTATTTCTCTCCCAGAAGAACATGCCATTTATATTACGGTACCCGGAACTGCGTAAGTCTGGCCACAGTGTGGGTGCACAGCTGGGTGCACAGCCCCTGTCTGGTTTTCACAATACACCTGTCTACTAATGCAGCCCCAGAGCTATTACTTTTAGGTAGCCATACCTTTCTAGTGACTCACAGGAAATTTAGTCACCTAAAATCCCTACCTCTTTTTTCACATGCCTATTTCTTGTCCTATATTTATACAACTGTATTTTTGAACCTCAGAAAAGAATTTAATTTTTGTCTTGCTGAAATTTCATTGTATTATGTTTAATCTATTTCTAGTTTATCTCCTAAATCCAGATTCTAACATCTACTGCTATATTCCTAATAGCTTTATGTCATAAAAATATTTAATCAGCATGTTATAGTCTCATAAAAGTCATTGATAAAGATACTGCACAGAATACTGCCAAGAACAGGCTCCTTCCCAAGTCTCTGGGGGCCCATTTCCAGACTGACACTAGCTCATTAATCACCCTCCCTAGCATCTGGTTTCTCCAGCAGCTGAACAACTGCCCACTCACATGTGCAGCACTTCTCTGACTCGATTACAGGCTGCCACGGCACCCACACATGGTAAATACATTCTGCTGAAGCCTTTGCACTCCTCTACTACACCAACCTAGCCGCCCAGTTACAAAGAGAGAAGAAATGAGGTTAGGAGACTAGTTCAACAGGACGTGACTTAGTCCTAGAACACAGAATGCCGCCTCATGGTCCTTCCTAAGCCACCTGTTCAATGATTTCCTTTAGAACATTGCCAAGGATCAAATGCAGGTACTGGCAGATTCCGCATTTGGTTTTGTTCCCATTTTTGAAAAGTTCCTACCTTCTATTTTGCAGATTCCTTGGACATGGCTGCTGTCTATTAAGCGGCCTCACATGTCACTCCTCAGAACTGGGAATATTTTTCACCTGAATTAGTACTTCCCTAAAATTTCCAAATTCCTGCATCCTTAGGACTAGAGACGATGTTGAGAAGATCCATCGTGGCCCATTGCCAGCTCTAAGCAGCTAAATCTCTTTCTTCCAGGGTCCCTGCCTCTCATTTCCACTGTCTTCTGTTTACACCTGAGTTTAAACGAACAGCTCCTGGGACAGGTAATGGTCAGGAAGGCAAGTCAATGATCTTTGACACATTTCGCCTTCTGTTGTAAGATTTCTGGCCAAGAGCTCTCTGGGTACAGCTGAGCACTCCCCTGCAGTCTGCCCCTGTGCCTGCGGTGTGAGCTGTTTCACACACACAAGACCTTCTGGCGGGAGGAGGGGTGGCAGCCTTCCCTCAAGGATCAGTCATTTCCTGAGAGCTTTCTAACATCTCCCAAGCACTGGGCACTCCTGTGATAATATCTCGTGGGAGCCAGTCTCGGCTTCACACAGAGCTATTCACGAGCGTCAACCTTCAGAACAGGGGTTTTATGAAGGTATCGATTTTCTTGACAGACAGTGCCTTGCTCTCTTCTTCACTGGAGCAATTCAACACCGCAACACATCACAAAACACTGCACGCCACAAAATCGTGGCGACACCTATGAAGCTGTATCTGCTTCAAGTTAGAAATATCCTGTTTATTACAAATTATACTTTTAAGTATAAGTAAGTATGTAAGGGTAACGGAGTTCACCCCTCCTAATTACCTCCACCTGTGAATGAACAGGCATCTTCGTCACCATTTTTAAGATCACTCCAACATCCTCCACATACAAATTTTTGAGACAGGTGGAACACAATTAAAATACGTTTCTAAGCAACATATTTTAATTAAACAATCTTCACTGGAAATCTTCCTAGAATGTATTGTGTACTTCTGTGCCTAACTATAGTTATTTCTTATTCTGTTTCCTCCCTCTGCTGAGAGATTTTACGTCTAGTTGCTGCTTCTGTGAAGGCATTTTTTTCTATGTGTTTCCAAGCACATTTCTGAGTTTAGTTCCATATGATGTAGCACATGGGCGTCGTAAAAGCTGGTTTTTTTTTTTTTTGCCAGCTTTAAGTTTTTAAAAACACAATCTTAAACCCATTTCAAAAGTTTACAGTTTTTGTTGAAACTGGTTTATTAGACGTCAAACCCTCACAGGCAATAAAAATTTTACTGCCTTTTTATGCACTTCCAAAGTGGTGGTGGGTGTACATGTGTGTTACATAGAGTGAATTCTTTCATGACCAGAAACAGTTTTGTTTTTTTACTTTGTTTTGCTAAAAAATACCTATATTCTATGTAAAATTTATAAAATAACACTTGAACATGAAAACACATCTTAAAATTAGATGAATTAAATAAGCATGCAATACAGATACTAGCAGGATGCCTGGCCTCGGGGAACTGCTCCCGTCTGTGTATGAACCGAAAAGTGAGGTTCAAACTCTCTCAGGAAAATTTTCCCTTCCCACTGCCCATCCATTCCTGATGACTCAACAATTCCCACAGAGGAAAGGGGAATGGTATCATCAACTAGCAGTCTTCCCGTGCCCACAGATTTGTGGTCCTTATCCGAGTGCTTCTGCAGCCTGGTCCTCCCTTCCTGACTTCCTGTATTGGCTCATTAAAATGATTAGCTGGCAATACAGGTATGTTTGGGCTGCTGCTGGTGGTGAGTTTAATATTCTAACTGCGTTTTGTGAAAGGAAATATTACCTAAAAGCTTTGATGTCACTTAAAAAAAAACTATATATGATTGAAAGAAATTTGAGACATTTTTGTTTAAATAAAAATCACTGAATTTATGTCTGTGAAGAAAATTCAATAAGCATTTATCAAGTCCTTAGGGTGTGCTGCACTGTACCTGCTCAGCACCATGGAGGAATGCAAACGATACGATTTCTTTCCTCAAGAAGCCAATCGTCCAGTAGACACTGTAAGCTACTTATGGCATATGAGGACAATTACTTTCACAGAGTATGTATGAGCCTCTACCAGAAGGCAGAGTATCTAGATCTGTCGAGAGGGAATAAGGGATGAGATCAGTATTCACAGTGGGAGAAATCACCTTAATGCCTTTTGCATTTATTCCCCACCATGGTTTTAGGGGGCAGGGGCTATTAATATCCACCCTTAAAAAGAGGAGGAGGCTCAAGCAGAGAAGCCACGAAACTGGCTCCAGGAGAAAGACAAAGGAAAAGGGGGAGTGTGTGTGCTTATGTGTCTGTGATTTATGCGCTACCTGATGAGGCAGGAAGGGGACACAGTTTGGGCAGAGAGAAAAGCATGGCAGAGGGAAGTTCACAGTGGATTTAGAGGAAGTCAAGCAGCCCTACTTGGCTTGAGTGCAGTGTAATCAGAGAAAAATAGGGGTAAGATTGTAAAACGTGGATGCGAGGAAAATAAGTGTACAAATAAACATAGTTAAATTAAATTGCATATGCAAAAACCTTAGTAGTATTATAACCTAAACTACCCAATGCAGTACCATTAAAAATGTCTGTATTTTAAAGAAAATGTCTATTTTTATACTTTGCCTTCATGCCTTCACATTTCCTGCAGAAGTTAAAAAAGATCCCACCATGAACAAATCAACTAGAAAATATCAAGCCTCTCTTCTCATAAAATATCAGCAATATCATCTATATGACAGAATTGCTTTCTTACTAAATCTTGAAATATATCCCCGGGTAATTATTACAAGGGAAAAAGGAAAGTGGCTTATGAGCCTTGGCAGCTGTTTTGTAAAGACTGAGACAGCGTGAAAAAATTTTTCTCACGCATTATTAAATAACATTTTGAGACAATCATGGGGGTAGAAATAATAGCTTCGGATCCAAGCTGGTGCCCAGGCCACTGACATGAGATTATTTCCTGCAAAAAATAAAGAGGAAAGAAAAATAGCAATGCAAAGGTGTTTAAAAAATGAGAAAGGCATCCTCCACTTCTTCTAACACTTCTAAAGAATGCAGGGAGTGAGCATGTAGGTTTCTTTGGATTCTTATTGAGGAGAGTGGCCTCACTTACACTGCTGCGTCTTCTATGCTGTCAGCCTCGCATCCCTGTTTTTCACCTTTCTGGGTCTCTAACTGGCCACCTGGAGCACACTCTTTACACCAATGTCCTCCTGCTGAGCACATGAAAGAAGTGGTGTGCAGAAGAGAACCCACACTTGGTTTTCCCTGGGCTCTTTGCTGCCTGGCCACGGACTTTCCGCTCAGATCACTTTCTGATTAGTGACCATGTGAAGCCCCACCCCTCAGCCTCTAATGAAGACAGGACCATGAATTGGGGCTACCCCTGAGAAGCTGCTACTGTGGGGAAGTCTCAAGCTAACCAGCCTAAGAAGCAACTTCTGAGACAGGGCTCCAACCTCCATCACATATAAAAACACTTCATTGTTTGTTTTGTTGAAACATAAAAGTAAATGTTAGTTTTGTAAATGAAGTCCATATAAAAATGACAGAATGCTATAAAGTGGAAAGTGAAAAATCACCCATCAACCCCTTCCCTCAGAGATAACCATGATTACTATTTGGCATATATCCTAAATAGCTACTTTTATGCCAGTCTACCTTTCCATCTAGATAGCTATTTGCTTATCTATTTTTTCATTTATATACAAAAGAAATATATAAGATATTTTCTTTTAAAAAATGTAGTCATAGAGATGTATTTGTTCCTCCTTAATAATGTAGTGTATTCACTTTCTGGAGTACACACAGATCCACATCATGATGATTAAGAGTTGCGTGATAGCTGGGCATGGTGGCTCACACCTGCAATCCCAGCGCTTTGGGAGGTCAAGGCGGGTGGACCACCTGAAGTCAGGAGTTCAAAACCAGCTTGACCAACATGGTAAAACCCTGTCTCTACTAAAAATATAAAAATTAGCTGGGTGTTGTGGCATCGCCTGTAATCCTAGCTACTTGGAAGACAGGGGCAGGAGAGTCACTTGAACCAGGGAGGCAGAGGTTGCAGAGACCTGAGATCGCACCATTGCACTCCAGCCAGGAAAACAAAAGCCGAACTCTATCTCAAAAAAAAAAAAAAAAAAAAGAAAGAAAGAAGACTTATTGATAGTTGCACGGTAGTTGAGTGAAGGAAAATATTGAAATCTATCCAACTAAAGGTGACTGGGTTTTGAAAAAATTATAAGAATGAAATTTTCTTGGAACTCAAAAAAATGACAATAATTACTATATGATAATATAGTTTGTACAATACTATTACCCACTAACAATATAGAAGACTTTTTAAAGATTCTGTGTCTTATAATTCTGAAAAATCAGAAACACATTAAAAGTCAAAAAACGGGGGAAGAGTTAAACACTCTGTGGTCTATCTCAATGGACTAATATAATATTTATGCATTAAAATGATGTCTGTAAAATGTGCAACGCTTTCAGAAAACACTTGTGTTGGTACGCAGGGGAATATTACATATTTAGTATAATCATAGCCACGTAAGGTAAACTCAAATAAAATGTAAAAAAAATGTTCCCCAAAAGTTCACCATGAAGGTTAAAACTAGTAGTAAACTTTTTTATCCTTTCATTCTTCTGTATTTCTCAAAATGTCTAAAATGAACTTGTACTATGTTTATAAATTAAAGAACCTCTATGATTTAAAAGTAAAAATAAAGTACTATTCTTTCATTTAGTCTTTCAAGAATAACAGATTTCATAGGGATCCAGGGGCACTCTCTGGCCAAGACGTGTGTCCTTACCAGGTCACACAACTGTCAGATAGTGAATGGCAATCTGGGGCACCTGTGTGGTCCAGGCCCATCCTTCACCAGCATCCTCCTCTCCCCCTTCTCCAATTTCCTACATGAGATGGGAAAGGTTCATTCCAAATCAGCCCAGTGGGTATACACTCTGCTTTGATGAATAGGCTAACCTTGTCTGTACAGGCAAGATTACCTTTGTGCTAGCAAAACTGAGGTTGCACTTCTCGTTAACGCTCCAAACAGGGGGAACATCAAAACAGTCAAAAACTGTAAAATCATATCACTGAAAGAGACCTTGAGAATCCTTTCCACCTTTCTGAGCCTCTTGTCAAGAGATTTCACATCACTGTGAAGGCTGAAGCTGCCTGCTGACGTGGACATGACTGGATTCTGATTAGAAACACATCTCTACATTTTTAGAACTTATTGAGCCTGTTTCTATGACTCATATCTTTCCTATTCCTACTACTGAAGACAGAGAAGAAAAAGGTAAAATGAGGTTAAAGAAAGTTAAAAGCCATTTTTGAGTTCTAGGCAAACTAGTAAGATTGTTATTTTGATAAGCACTTAAAAAAAAAAAAAAGACGACGATGATGACGACCAAGGGTACCTTTGGCACACAATAGTTAGCATTTGGCTCTCAGGTGTTCTTTTCATTTCATATCTTCTAGTGCCCTCAGCTCTTTACCATTCCCAGAATTTCCCCCATAAAAATTCTAAGACCCATCTCCCTAGCAAAGAAAACCCATTTCGAAGGTTCAGAAGTAAACTCATTAAGATGTAGCAGCAAAATAGCACAGAGGTTAAGAGTACAGACCCTCAGATGAGGCTGACTTCCGAAGCTGCGGGTCCTGTGATGTTGCATACATTGCTTGCTCCCTCATTGTTAGGTGAACGTGATAACCACTACACTATGGAAACCTGCTTTGCCTCATTGTTATGGGTTGAATTGTTACCTCCAAAAGCATGGTGAAGTCCTAACCCTTGGTACCTATCAGGGTCTCTACAGATGCAATCAGTTAAGATGAGGTCACTAGGCTTGACCCTGATCCTTTATCACTAGTGTTCTAAGAAGGGAATTTAAAGAGAGACACACAGGAAGACAGCCATGTGAGGGCAGAGGCAGAGTGGGGCAATGTGGCCACAAGCTAAAAACAAGTGGTGCTAGAAACTTGCAGGTTAGAAACCTTGCAAGTTATTTATCTTAGACTATTACCATCCCAACATCCAACTAGGAAGCCAAGACCCAGTCATCCTGCCTCTTTGACATAACTTGAATTAGTCCCCTTGTTCCTGTTTGTACTGTGTAGGATATAATAAATTCCTCTTCAAAGGTTTTAGCCTATAAATTGTTAAGAAGAATGAGTTCTGAGATCCTCTCGAAAGAATCAATGTATCAGTATGTTCAGCTCCCTGTTCTTTGTTCTCTACTTTAAAGTTTAACGTCCTGGTTCTCTTCACCCCCTTGTTCCTAGTTTTAGTAAACAACTTTCCTGCCAGTTCTAATCAGTAGTTCACATCTGTTCCCCTGGTCACCTGCTCCGACCTGAGTCACCTTTAGTTATCTGTTCCATAACCGTCCTTCCTGTCAAACTGCTCACCCTGCCACTCTGGCTCATACCCCTGCTCCCTTTAAAACAGCCAATCAGAATTAGCTTAGACGGTGCAGTCCAACAGTAGCCAACAGAGGAACAACAAAGCAGTAGGGGCTACCTGAATCAGGGATAAAAACCCCTTCCCTTCCCCTGTTCGGGTAAGCCCTTGCCATTGCTCCATCTGTGAGACATACCCTTCTATAGAAGTAAAAATTACCTTGTTGAGAAAATTTATATTCAAGAGCTATTTCTTTTGCGGCATCAAAAATTTATATATAACAACTTGTGGTGGCTTTGCTGAGTCCTTTCTCACCTCTTGACAAGGTTCCTCAACTGTTTCCTCCCTCCTTAGGCTCATCCCTACTCCAACCCATCCTTCATAGCACCACCCAAAACATCCTCTATAGAATTCCAATTAACCAGGTTATTCTTCTGATTTTCACCCCACCTTTCTTTGCAAGGGTTTGAGGAAATGGCCCATGCTCATTTGCCATCCCCTCTGATGTCTGAATCGAGCAATGTAAATATGACTGCTCCCCTGTTCCTCCCTCCCCACTACACAGCTTCTATCTTTCAGATGTGGAAATAAGACCTTGAAACTCACTTCCGAAAGTCTGCAAGTAACTTGAGCATGTCGTCATTGGATAGCTTATTGCTGTCTTGCCTATAGATGGCAGAAAATCTGGCATTTTTGTCAAGATTTCCAGATGCATCCTTAAACAATGTCCTGAAATGGCAAAGCAACATTTCAAAACTGGGTTTCCAAAACACCAAAATCAATTTATTATTTAAATCTGGTTTCTATGAGAAGTCTAATTAGTATTCCATTGGCTACAGCCAACAGAAATTTCATTATCTAAAAACATGGAAAACATTTATGGGGATGAGGATGACTAACCTGATTTACATAGAAAACAGTTCCAGCCAATGGCTTGTGCTTAGGAAACAACATACACAAGTCAAATGCTTAACAAGTAGAGTCCAGAGATAAAGATCACCCCAGGCTTCACTAGACTGGCCCGACTTCTAGCTGGAGGCAAGTGGTTGGGCCCTGGAATTCCAGCCCTGCAGGTCACATGCCCGTGCACCCCCCTGAGATCCAGGTAGCACCTCTCTAGCCAGCAACTTTCCTTTCTGTGACTCTATTAAATGATTTTTCAAAATTTGGGCTTACGTATTTCTCAATTTTACATATTCAAATCCTCTTTGTCTCTGAAGAACAAATGGACTAGGCCTACTGACCCATCCATGTATCTATCTGTATCGATTTAAAAGGTATGAAACGTGTTCCTTACCTTGCTGCCCAAGCAAATGGCATTCTATACTGTCCTAGTCTTTGGCATGCCTGCTTGGCATTCTTCAGCACCTTCTGAGCCACCTTGAAGACATGAGAATAAAGCCATGAGATACCATGTCTCACTGACAGAACCGTGACCTAAAGAGCCATCATTACACACTAACTAAATAAGCTCTTACTATAGCATCAGACGCATAGAAAAGCACATCATACAGTAATGAAAATGGCTGCATTCATACTCTGTGCAGCGTACTTTATTTATTTAATGCATTCTCTAGCAGCGATTCTCAAAGAATACAGAATGAAGACTCCAAAATGCCTGTCCCTTCTTTGGTCTTTACCGGCAACAAACATGCTGTTTCACAGGTTTTCATACATTTCTATGACTAAATGCTACTCATTATAAGTCTACTGAGTTACTAATAATTACTACTATTTGGTATCCATACCATAATATATCACATTAGGATTCAAATGAGAACACTAATTAAAATACTAAGCTTTCACAGCTCCTAATGTGCACTAGCTTATGCTGATTCCAACAATGTGAGGGGTAAGATATTAAGATACTGACTTCAGTTAGGCCGGGGTTCTCAATGCTATATTGTCACTTTCTAAATATGAATTACTGCTATTTCCACTTCCCAATGATCAATTCGGGTTTCTTGTGGATTGAATAATTCATAGTGTACAATGAAGCATATTTGCTTTAGGCCTCAGGCAGGCCTATTATTAATCAACTATACCCCTACTGCTAAAGCAGATAATGCTTAATTTATCCAAATTTGTCTGTACTATGATAGTGCTTTGTATCAATGCAAAGTTTGATTATCTCAGAGTCACAGTGAAGGGTCTTTTACATCACTTCGTTTTTTATTCTTGTTTTCTACTGAAGGGTCTTTTACATAAGTATATCAACTTCCAACCAATTTTGGGAAGTGTGCTCCAAAACCAAAGTGTGCTATAGCATCAGCATCACTGTTAGAAATGCAGAGTCTCAGGCCTTGCCCCAACCCCCCTGGATCAGAACGTGCATTCCGACAAGACCTCCGGTGACCTGCGTGCACCATCAGCCACAGGAAGGATCTAGAAGGATTCAGGAGCAGACATCAGAGCTGTCCGTCTCTAAGTCACACTGATCTCAGCTGTATGACTCTGTAGGCCATCAAACCTCTCTGGGCTCCACTATCCACACCTGAAAATGGGTGCTAGGCCACACTTTTCATGATCCTTTCCAGTTATGAAACTTTATGATCCTACCATGATCATGCTGTGGGAACTGCTGCCTTAATGAGTAACCTGGAAAATACATCCTAATGGGAAGAGACGTCAGGAAATCATCTAGGAGCTCCCTGCTTTCTTTTTCAGTGAGGTGCGTTCTTGCCTCCCTGGGTGGGGTGACTCAGCGGGTTCAGGTTGTGTGAGTCATAGGGTACAGTGAGACCTAGCTGCGGGGTCAATTTCCTTAAAGATTTTCAGGTTCAAGATTTTTCGATTCTAACAATAATGAATATGTTGCAGAGTAAAATACAGTAATTTCATAAAATTTTAAGGTAAAACATAAGGCATCAATAAGCCTTTTTTGCAGCAAATTAGGACTTAGCTCTCAGACATACGAAAGGTGCAAACAGAACACGGTATGTGTGAAAGTCAGAGTAAGAAAACTGATTTTGCCCTTTGGGCTTTTTTCCCCTTTTCTTTCTTTTAAAAACATCTATTCACAGCAGATACCTACAGACACTTTTCATAAAAATTTCCTCCAAAACAAAAATTTATTCTAAATGATGTTCTAGACCATCTTGGGAAACATGAAGAAACGACTTTGATAGACAGAAAAAAATCATCTCACTATAACATCTCTGCCAAAACTGTGCTAAAGTAAGATAGCTGAGCCTTAATTCCTGCTTTAATTGAAGGCTTTGGAGGTGGCAGGAAAATAAATGCATGAATAATGTACACATGGATGAGCTTTACATCCTGAAATAAGGAAGAAAAATCAGACTTCAGCAGCTGCTCAGTGGACATGGAGGAGTGTGCAGAGGTAAGTTCAGCCTACAGTGATGTGTGATTTTTACACCAGCATGAGCTGCCAATTTTCAAACCATGCATGTGGCAGGCAGAAGTAACAAAGTTGGTGTGGATAGGCCTTGGAAATGTGTGGCATACACAGTTGGGGGAGGAGATCTTATCCTGAGCCTTCATTGATTATTAATCAAAACATAAAAGAGCTAAAAGAGCTTCTCGTCCAAGGTTTTACAGACTTGGTTTAAAAAAATAAAACAGCTTCTCTCCAGAGACCAAACTTTACTTTGCTTTTATCAGCCAAAAAGGCTTACTGTTGGAAACAATGGGCCTGGGTAAACAGGCTTTTACTTGACTGGGGCTGTAATAAATGACACTGTCTTCCAGGATTTCTGTGATGGACGGTGCCCACGGCAATGTCTCGTACATGCTCTGTTTGATCCTAACACAGTCCCTAGGAGGAGGGCGGAGGCAGGAAGTAACATTATCCTTCAGGAACAGAAGGAACATCCGGAGGCCAGAGAGGTGATTTGATTTGTCCAAAGGACCCAGATGAGTTAGGCATGCAGCACCCAGGTCTTCTGACTCCCAAACCCATTTCTGAATGGCCATCCTCCATCCTGTGACATAGCTATGATGCATGGGTGCCCAGAGAGGTGAAGACAGAAAGCTCTGAATCCAACTTAGTAAACCTCATTCACTGCCTCTGGGGTATCCACTCCTACTGTTGACCAGTCCTTGTCAGTAAATCCAGGCTACCTCTCAGACAACCACGTAAATTTTTTTTTTTTTAAAGAACTACAAATATGTAAAACTGGCAAGGATAACAGCACTCAACAGATTACACTAGCCAGGTGACACAAGATGCTACAAAGTGGCAGCCAAGAGCCCTCTGGCAGCTCCAGCTGGGAGACACTGAGCAGGTCACTAAGCCTTGGTGAGCCTCAGTGTCCTGAAATACCAATGCACATCTTGGACTAGATGACCTCTAATATTTAATAATTCTATGATGTGTCCACACTTAGGCACTTCCTAAGTAATGAACACTATTTTGAAAAAACAAACAAACATACATCATGTATGCTCTCTTTCTGTATTCCACCTAAAACTCTGCCTCCTCTAGCAAAAACCAAGTGGACCTGAATCACTGACACTACTAGCCAGACCATCTGAGCCAAGGGCATCTCCTAGTCTCCAGCCTCATATATAACTGTAAGTGGATCAAAATATAATTTCAGAACATCAACAAATAGAACGAACTCTATTTGAATATCATATATGTACTTTCTAACAAAGAAACTTTACTATTAAGCTGGTAATTCCTTTGCAAATTATTTTAGGATGTCAGAATTGTTTAGTCAAGTGGAGCATTTTATTTACACATAGGACTGCATTTCCTTCAAAATTAAGATATAAAGTAATAAGGACAAAAGAACAGAGTAAATACATGCAGCATATTCTACATCTTTAAAAAACATGGCTATGTTTGATTTCATTAAGCATTTCTATTTTGACATAAAGGTCTCTGTTCAGATTGCTTTTTACCATCACAAAGCATAAAAGCCATTCATACCTTAGAAGAGTCTGAACTTTTCATATATGGCTCAGCGCAATGTGTGATGCTTCCCTGAAGGACTTTTTCAATTCTGGCCACAAGAAATATATCTGGATGAGGACAAGTGACTGAAAATATTCCCTAGGAGACAAACAATTTTCTTCAGTAAGCAGAATTCAGAGCTGCATTAAACAAATCCCATAAACATTAAACAGCAAAGAATAGTGAAACCGGACAACTAGCAAAAAGCACCTAGTGCCAAACTAGTCAGCTGACAAACAGTTCGTCATATGCTCAAAAAGTCTATCTGGTGGGGGAGGTAGCAAGGGGAACGCTTAGAAAGAAGAAATCAGAAATTAAAAGCCACTTCTTTCTCAGCTTGTTTTTCTGGTCTAATAATAAATACTATTAATTAAGAGTCTAATGACCCCACTTGTGCATTACAAAGTCTAATTTGAGCATTTTCAGTGCATTTGCATAGCATGCAAGGTGAGTCTGAATAATAGGAATGCTGGGCTCATGCTCCCTACCTGCTTTGGATACTGCATGGCAGCTTCATGAAGGATGCCCTTGAAGATGGACGGGCTCTGCCCACTGCCATTCATCACAGCCGGGGATGCGGTGGCCAGCATTTGCCTCACTGAGAAATGATTCAGGTCTACGTGGAAATCGGCAGAAATCTTTCGGTTGTATTTTATGTCAAACAGAGATAGAGTAACAAAGAAAGGCTCGACCTGAACAAAACGAAACAAAACAATCCAAAAATCACTATGACTCAAACAGGGACAAAAGAATGCTGTGTCAAAAGAGAAATGACAGGACCTATTTAGGACTGCTGCCATAAATGACTACTAAAGATAAACAGTCTTGTCATTTTGCACACAGAGAATTTGGTTATAAAACATTTTAGAAAACAAACAAAACAATTATTTTACCTTTATGTGTTTTGCTACTTAACATACGCTTCATAGAAAGCACAGATGTGCTCCCTGAAGCATCTAAGATGAACTGTCTCCCGGAATGCTGGGCACAGACCTACCACTCTCATCTTTCATCATGAACTTCCTGTCCTTGCAGGCGAAACAACCTCCATATCCTCATCCAAATACTACACCTCTTTGATAACGGGAACTAGGATTTCTCATCCAGGCTGCACTGTCAAGGCACATCTGAAACATCGATTTTTTTCCAAAATCTTTATTTTTAAAAAGAAAAATTACATTAGTAGTGGGTCCTTCTTCATTTTCGGCAACACAGCATTGCAAATTGAAAGATAAATCATTGCACTTGACAAGAATCCTTTTCCCAAACTTCTCTTCGAATGGCTTCACTTCTGGCTCAGCTGATAAGAAGTCGAGCTTCTTTAAAAGAAAATGTAAACATATCAATAAATTATGCTCCTATTTTAAGAAATCATCATAAATGCATCCAAAGGAAACAGAATAAAACATGGAAACGCTATATACACTTACTTACTCACAATAGTGTTGCTATTATATAATCAGTTTCTACAGTTTATATTAGTTATATACCTAGTTTATAATAATGGTCAAGGACACGATGGTACTGAAAATGTACAAAGCTTGAAAATTATGATTATGAACAACGTAACCAATGTCCATCCAGTATCCAAGCAAGTGTCCATCAACAGATGTATGAGGATACATAAAATGTAGTGAATATACAGTGGAACATTCAGCCACAGAAAGGAAGGAAATTTTGACACATGCTACAATATAGACAGACTTGGAAAATATTATGTTAAGTTTAAGAAGCCAGATACAAAGGACAAATACTGTATGATTCCACACTTAAGAGGTTCCTAAAATAGGCACATTCATAGAATAGAACAGAGGTTACCAAGGGATGGGGGAAGAAGGAAAGGAAGGTTATTATTTGGTACAAAGCTTCCATCTGGGAAAATGAAGAAGTTCTAGAAATGGATGGTGGTAATGGTTGTACAACAACGAGAATGTATTTAATGCCACTGAACTGTACACTCAGAAATGGTTAAAATGGTGAATTTTATATTATATGTATTTTACCATGATAAACAAAAACTGCTTACAAGCAAATAAAAAATACAGGCATATATACACACATACATATGGTTATAAGGTCGTGAGGAAACAGGAAAGTACTTATTATTACAGTTAAATGGAAAAGGTTTATATTTGAGCCTGAGCCAGGAATTATCACCAACTCCCAGGCATCTTCAGTGATACCTGTTATTTTCTGATGGTTATTTTAACGGGTAAATTAGATGTTCTTTGTGAACAGAGAATGTCTTTGAGTAAATCTCTCTCAATTTTCAAAAATCTATTGAATATCAAATATTCACAATAGTAAGGCTGTGGTGATGAGATTATATGTTATTATTTTTCCTCTTTTCCCCGAATTTTCTATATTCTTATTTATCTTGTTCCAAAATAAAGCAAACAAATAAACAAATAAGCCCATCGATGATTTTCTCTCCCACGCTTGGTTTTCAATGTTAAACATTTAGATAGTTCTTACCTGGGCATCTGGGTCCAAATAAAAAAGTTTGACTCTGCTTTCACTTTTCAGTTTGATTTCCGCTTCTCTGGCACTCTGATAACAAGATAAATAAAAATTACATTTAACAAAATCCTTTTCTTGCAAAGGTATCCAAAGACATTTAAAAGCTGCCCAGTCCTGAGGCCTGAGGCTTCTGGAAAGCTCTGCCTCATGTTGGAGAGCTGCTGTGTGTGCCAGGGAGTGTGCAGCACAAAAGGTAACCACCAGGAGGGAAAAAAGAGAAGGAAGATGAGATTCAGCCCTTCTGAAGCTCACAACCAGTGGTAGAGTCAAAGTCGACACAAAGAATGCAAAAGAGAATAATTAAGCATCTGTGTGTCAAGAAAGGCTTCATGAAGTAATGGAATATGGGATAGGCTTGGAATGAAGGGACAGAATTGAGCTGAACATCCCTGGCTGAATGAAAAGGATGCACAGACAGACACTGAGGGTGGAAATGAGCCCAGATGCTGGAAAGGATTTAATCAGGTCTAGTCTATGACGGTACAAGAAGGGAAAGAGGAAGGAATATATTTTGAATGATGTGATAGAGAAAATGATGGCTGATCTTGAAGGACAAGATGCCGATTCATTCACTATTCATTGAGCACCTCTTATGGGCCAGGCCCTAGAGGCATAAATGTGAATGAAGAAAGTCCCTACTGCCAAGGAATACCAGGTGGGGAGACAGCTTATCAATAGGTAATAAGGACAAAATAAAGTGTAAGGAACAGTGGGAGCCCGCTTGGACAAGGGGGTAGTAGTCAGGAACCACCTCCCAAGGGAACGCTCATCTTGAAGGACAAGAACATTTGGCCAGGAAAGGAGAGAAGTGCATTCTAGGAGAAGGCACAGCAGGTACAAAGGGACAAGTCACACCTGAGCAATGACCAAGTCACTCATCACAACTAAATGGCAGGGCATGATTAAAAAAAAAAAGTGAAGAGAAATGAGTCTGGGATTTGCATCTAAGGACTGGGATTTCACTCAGAATCTAAAATATCCTGCAACATTTTAGGCAAGAGAATAAAATGAGTTCCACATTTCAGAACCATCACTTGGGTAGGGCTGAGGCAATGGGTTAAAAAGGGTAAGACCTGGAGGTCCACGTGTCTTTCTTGGGTTATAACACCAGCCCCCCAGCCTCACAGCAGGACCAATTAACAAATCCCATGTTTCTAGCTTGGGCAGCCTGCTGAATGGTGAATCTATGAATAAGACAGAAAACTCAGGAAGAACACATCTACAAAAAAGATGATGATATCTTTATCATCTTTGTGTAGAGCTACCTGGGTAGAGATGCCTGTGGAATTTCCAACTGGAAACATCCAATAGACAGCTAAAGGGATGAAACTTGAGCACAAGGCCGAGAGGGAGGCTGGAGTTCCAGACTTAGAGAACGTCAGCACAGAGGTGGGTGCGTCTTGGGATTGGATGAGATGTCCTTAGGGAGAGGGTGAAAGTGAGTCTGAGGACAAATCCCAGGGGGCCAACACTGAAGAGGTGGACAGAGGAGAAGCCATGGAAGAAAACAGACAGATGGTGGCAGAGATGGGGGCTGGAGATGTGGGATTTGGGAATGGAAAGAGAGGCTTTTCAGACATTCACAAGATAGAAGTCATCTTCATCTTTACAATTTTTCATGCCTGGTGCCTCCAAGTCTATATTCTGTTCTTGGCAGTCAGGGCTCTCTGCTACTCTCAGTCTCCACAGTTACATCTATGGGTCGGAATAGAGTGTACTCTCTCATTTGCTACTTTCCCCAAAGACATGCGTCACATCTCAGCACTTGAGGATGGGGCCCTCACAGCCACAACGGAAAAGGTGTCTTTTCTTCTCTGCTGGTGGCTGAACAAAGTCTATTATTACATTTGTAATGAGAAAATAAGCATCTTAATTTTCTTAGCCATGTGATTGTTGTATATAATAGGTCTTTAGCAATGATCCAAACTATGATGATCAGCTGTCTGTGTTTAAATAAAATGATCACCAGAATACTTGGAAACTGGATTCTGGTTCTAGTTCAGTTAAGGAGCTGTGCAAGCTACTTAGCCTCTCTGGATTCCATTTTCATTTCTGGGTAAAAATGTTAAACAAGATGGTGGCTCAAGTCTCTTATCTCATGGAGTTTATCTTGATGCTAAATGGGAGCCTGAAGGCTATGGAGGTGAAGGGGCATTCCTGCAATCTTCTGTTTATGCTTCCAGGGCAAAACACTGTGGTGGAGGCAGGCGCTCTCCACAAGGGAGATGGGACCACTTCATTCTATTCTATCCTGCCAATCACCTTTCCTATTTTTTCACACCAAAAGAGCGAGAACATGTGCAAGTGGAATCTACTTAACTGAACTCAAAGAATTTGCTTCGCATTGCATATGGCCTGTGGTGCTTCCTAACAAAACCGTCAGTACTAGGTGCTGCAAGCCACCACCAAGTTATCTATTCTACTTCTGAATCATCCGCTTGAGCCCTTCAACAAAGACAAATACTGTGTTATGATCTCAGACACTAGAACAGAGGAGTGGGTTCTTAATGTAGATGCAATTCCTGCTGCCTTTCTGAGAGATGCTTGTTGCTCAAGCTGGAGATAAGAAATGAATAAAGCAAGAACAACTGTTAATGAGCTCTGTATAATTAAAGAACAAATGGGAATGCAGACATATGAAAAGAAAAACAATTAACTACTAACCAAAATAGACATAAAGCATTCCGATTTTGTCACTAACACCCAAAAGATATATTCTTACCATAGACATCATTTATTGGAAAAGAAGGGACAACTTTAGATGTAAAAATAACCGAAAAGCTTGTAATCTACCTGATACACATTGACAGCTCTGCTACGAGATAAATAAAAAGCAAATTCAGCTTCTTAAAGTTCCTCCCATCCCTCCTAAGGTCTAGGAGGATGCTGCATTAAACAGAAGGGATGCCCAACGCAGGCTGAAGGATTTACCAAGTAAAATCTAGGATGTAGAAGAATGTGGTTCAGGGAGAGCAGGACTTTGCCCCAGAGTCAGGAAACAGTATCTGGAAGATTAGCAACGATAAGAGCTACTATTTATTGATAATAGCCAATATCTACCTGCTAGATATTATCCTAAGTGCCCATTTTAATTTTATACAACCTTAGGAGGCAGGTACTATTATTGTACCTGCTCATTAAAAGAGAAGACACTAAGTTAAGGCATGAGTGTTCGGTACTTTGCCCAAAGATTTACATCATCAAACAGAGGCCTGGCTTCTAACTCAGGTTGCCTGGCTGCAGAGTCTAAACTGTTACACTACACAAGAGAGGAGAAAAGGGTAAAGAACATGAACAGGCAAGTCAGAGAGGAAGAAAAACAGAAATGGCAAATAAACATATGAAATATGAGAAATATCACTAATAACCAGCAAAATACAAACGAAAGCACAGAAAATACCATTTTACACTCATCTGATGATGATGCAGAGAAACAGAAATGTAAATTGTTACAGCTTTTTGGGACAGTAACTTGGCAATATTTAAAGCATTAAAAACACTATAACCCTTGACTTAAAAATCCCACAATGGGGAATTTCTCCTTCTGAAATAAGAGCACAAGTATTTAATATCATGTTGTTTACTGCATACTGTTTGTAGGGGCTAAAAACCTGAAAAAACCCTCAGTGTTCATTAACAGGGCGATGGCTGAATAAACTATGCAGGAGTGACAGCTGGATACCATGCAGCTTGCTGATATGTATGTAAGAGGGAACCAGGTCTTCTGCTGATCCAGAGGGATAGCTATGAAACATTTTTAAATGATAAAGCAAATTTCAAAATAATGTATCTATCATGAACATATTTTTATAAAAAATCTTTAAAACCTTACATATGTGTATCTGTATTTCTGTGAGCAATCTGGTGAAAGGGGAATTTCAACAGGTTATTAACGTCAGTGTTTTCAGGAATGTGAGAATGGAGGATGAAGGGAAAAGATGAACTTCTCTTTACACAACTCTGGATCCGTTTACTTATTGTAACAAGCACATTTATTTTTCATTAAAATTTTAGTAAAGATAGTAAAATAAATAGTTGTAATATGTACTTTCATAATCTAAGAGCAGACAAAATACAACTGTAACAAATACCATCCCAAAGACTGTAGTTGAGCAACTCTCAGAGTTATGGAAACCAGTTCTGCTCTTAAAATAACCTGTGGTCAGTCTATATTGCGATGGTAGGAAGAGCCAGCTGGCTTTTCCCCAGACGCCCTGTTGCCTCTTTCCTGCCCAAAGCCCACTGACTACTCTGGGTTCCGTGGAGAGGAGAATGAGAGGAAAATGGAGACAGAAACTGGACTAGGGCAGAGCTGTTCTCTGTAGAAACTGGTGTTTGCTGAGAAGACAAGGAAGAGAATGATTCATCTAAAACAGGGAGGATTCCCCAGCCCCACCCTGTCCTGTAAACCCTACATTCAAGCACTAATGACACATCCGACAAGGTTTTCTTCTTTGTCTTAAGAAGTAGTTATGGACCAAACATTCAAGAGTTTCCAGAAAGTCTGCTGTTGGCTTTAGGCATACTCGGTGTCTTAAGTTTATTTGCGAGTAGATAAACAATATAGAGTCGAAGACTATGGCCAACAGCATCTTATTTTAAGGCTGAATTATCAGAAACATTGTGTTGACTGTTGGGTCATTTAAACAGAATGGGTTGGAATAGGAGGACTCTGCAAAACTTTGAGGCCAGAATATATACTCTAATTTAAAGAGTTACCATGATTTATTTCCACTACTTCCAAGACACCTAACTCCCCAGGACCATCAGCTCATCCTCTTCACAAAGGAGACCCAGAAATGCAACACCAGCTGGTCCCACAGACAGAAGCCTAGCCAGCTCCTTTGTGTCATAGTGCAAGGATATTGTTTTCTGGATTGGAATCTAGGGAATGAAGTACTTATTACAGACTTGGTTTAAGAAATCAGAAAAGGTATCTGTGAAACCATGTGGGTTCTGACAAGTTCTGCTGAGAATGGCCCTTAATCCTCACTCCATCTCCATGAGACTATAAAGTCTGAGACACACTTTCTGCTGGATGCAACTGTGGAAGATTTACCTGGAATGATAAGTTCATTTGCTTAAAACAAAGTTGAAAGATAAAAAGATGTGAGGAATTCTGGATTCAAATAAAACTCTACTTCTCTTTCAGAACCACATGGGGAAAGCAAAGTAAAAGTTGGCTGCTATTCTTTGAGCACAAAAATAAAAGCTCATAAACAGAAAAGCTGTGGAAGAAAACATAAGGTGGGTTTTCTTCACAACATCTTTATATAAGGAGATGACATATATGTTCTGATGTCACCTAAGATATAAATGTAACCAGAGAAATAAATTATTAAATAACTAACAATGGAGTTTATAGCCTGATTATGTTACTCCTTGACTTTCCAGAAAAGAACTCAATTAGCTACCTTGAACTATGGTTTGTGTACCTAACTAAAACATTTATAAGACTGATGCTATATACACTGTTATATTTACAATAAAAAATCTTTGGTTTCCTATGAGACAATAGGAGGAAAAGAAACAGTTTTCAGGTAGATACAGTGTGTTCTCTAATAAGAAAACAATAAAGATGTTCGGTACTAAATGTACAAACGTAAGTCCCAAGATTATGTAAAATATTCTGAAATCGTAAGCCTACGTCACTCACACGGTAAGTAATGGGCCCTTCCATAATATTCCAGAATGAGACATCAGTTATTTTTGCACTAAAACAACTTCCTCTCAGTCACATCCTGTTTGGCTACGTCTCAGTCACAATGGAAAACAAAAGCCGGGGCAACAGGATGAAGGAGGCAGAAAGAGGAGCTGATTAGAAAGGAACCTGCCATTCAATTACACCTTCAGCCACCTTCTGCCTGCCCCCATTGTTCTAGGCTTTTTTCTGCAATCTTACTGAACTGTGGCCCTGCCTCCCAGCGGACCCTCTCTTGCACCTTCCCTCCCCGATACTGACCTCTTTACCTCTTCGTCCCCCAGTAAACTCGCACAGTTCTCTCCGCACCCCTCTCCCTACTCTCTGATTCTGTAACCATGGAATCCATTCCTCCTAAAAATGGGACGACCAACAGTTATCAGGTCAACTTCTTTGCCTTCTCAACTAGTGCAAATAGTCCAGATACCCTACAGGGAGATGATAAAGAGCCAAAATTGCACTCTTGCTCAGAAACTTGGCTGCTCACACTGACACCGCCGAGCTGGCCTTGAAAAGGCAAAGCCCACAGATACCCATGTGCTGAGTGAAAACTCATCTCCATTTTCTTCATTGCTTTTCCCTTCAAAAAATTACTTTCTACATTTTCTACCTTTTTAAATAAGAGTATTTTTAATATACGGAAAACCTAGGGGAAAAGAAAAAACAGCAAATCCTCTAACAAGGATATATTTTTCAGGTTTTGACCATGACTCCCAGTAAGAAATGTTTTAACATTTGCAACACAAAGATAAATGTCTGAGGTGAGAGCTATCGCAATTACCCTGATTGTAGACAGACATCACACATTGTAGACAGACATCAAAATATCACACAGACCCCCAAAATATATAAGAGCACACTAAGAAAAACAAATATCTTTTATGTTTGTTTTGCAAGACACTATGCAAGACACACACACACATTATTTATATATATATACACACATATATGTGTGTGTGTGTGTGTGTGTGTGTGTAGTGCTCTGCCCTTAATAATGATATTTTACATAAAAAATGTTATTAAGGGCAGTGTACTTTCATATTCTTCATTCAATCTATTACATTAAAAAAAAAAAACCCTTTTTTTTTTTTTTTTTTGAGACACAGCCTCGCTCTGTCACCCACGCCAGAATGCAGTGGCACGATTTCAGCTCACTGCAACCTCTGCCTCCCGGGTTCAAGTTATTCTCCTGCCTTAGCCTCCCGAGTAGCTGGGATTACAGGCACCTGCCATCACACCCGGTGAATTTTATATTTCTAGTAGAGACGGGGTTTCACTATGTTGGCCAGGCTGGAACTTCTGACCTCAATTGATCTGCCCACCTCAGTCTTCCAAAGAGCTGGGATTACAGGCATGAGCCATCCTGCCTGGCCTAACAAAACTTTTTAAGGTGAGTCACATAATGTTTAGCTAAAGCAGCCTGACACAAAGAGTACATGTATGACCCCATTCACAGAAAGGTCTAGAAAAGTCAAAACTAATCCACAGTGATGGAGGTCAAAATAATGAGGGTCTCAGGTACAAGCCAGCCTGAGGGCTGCTTATATCAGTGTACAAATGTGAACTCCACTGAGCTCTAAATTCATGCTTGAACATTCTGCTCTTGTAAATTATAGCTCAATAAAAGTAATAAAAAACTAAATAGAAACAAAAAGAAGCAGGGGTTGAGATCAAACTGATTTCACCAACTAAAATGGCTTAAGCTAACTTGTAATGTATTGTTTAAAAACAGTTCCAAATATTTTAAATGAAAAAATATATAATTATATTTATAAAAATACAAGTATACATAAATGTACACATTTATATTAAATATATGTATATATTTTAAAAAATCTCCCTAGGTCTTAGAATCAAACAATACTGAATTATATTGGCTGGGAAGTAACAGAAGAAAGGGGGAGACAGCTCTTGCATATCCTCATAGGAAAAAGCATAGATTTATAATTAATCAACATTAGGTTCAAGTAACACAAATCTTCTCCTTGGTATTTATTCTGTTCACCCAGTAACTGCAGAAGGTTACTTTCTGAATTCTAGACAGCATCACATATATTACCTGCTGAAACAAACTAAAACCCAAACAGGTGCAAACATTTTGTTTTGGGAAATTATGAACCCCCAAACATCTAGAAACAAAAAAGCAAATCTCAATGCAAGATATGATACACAGACATTCATAACACAAACGCACAAGCCAAAACTCTTCCCAGACTAGGAGGTGGTTACAATGGTGGCACTAAAATTAGCTTTAATAGGCAGGTGCTAAAAAGACACTGTGGTAACAGTCAAGTCCTGAGGAAAAACAATGCTCTCAAGTCCCAGCCAGGGAGGGAGATTTTATATTTGAGAACAGCCATGTTGTCTTAAAATAAAGGTCAATGCTGAATGCTAGTCTATTTATAATCCTATACAGATAAACCATGTTCTATCATAGTGTTTAAGATGTGGGTGTGGAGAGCCACCATTTCACTCTAGTATCAAAAAAGAATAAAAGGGCAGTAACAGAATAGGAGTGCAAAGGGCTAGAGAAGACAATGATATTTTTCTCATTTAAGAAAGAATCATTCACAGATGCACACAAGGAGACAAGGATACTCATTGTAGCATTGTTTATAATAGAAACAAATAAAAATAACAGAACAGTTGAAATGTCTATACAGTACAAATAAAGGGTGAATTTTAAATTTTTTAAAGTGCAGAACAATACATATAGTATGTCAGTGTTTGTAAAACATTTTTAAACATATTAAACACCATATATGTCATTATGACAGATTTATTTATAAAGATATAAAAACGAAAATAAAACTTTTAATAGTGCTTGTTTCTGATTTGGGTTGTGGGAAGAGAAGAGAATGGGAATAAGGACAGTGTTTAAAAGAACTTCAACTATAACTGACGTTTTATAACTTTTAAGAATATGGAAGCTAAAAAGGCAACACCAAAATAGATATTTAATCTGGGACGTGGCAGTATGGTTGGTTGGCTTTTCTTTGTGCTTTTCAGTAACTTTCAAATTTCTCAAAATTGTAAGACACAGAAACAGCTTATTTTTCTTTACATTGAGAGTGATCTAGAAACAATTTCTGAAACTTAGACAACCCCTGGTTTTCGTGACAAGATACCAGGTCCTTCCTCTTTGGAACTGTGTCTATTAAGCCAGTAAGGGAGAGCACGTGTCAACACAGAAAGTAAGATGTTATTAAATTTTTAAAAAAAAATGTGTGTGTGTCAGTTATTTCCTCAGTACTTGTGATGTAGTGTTAAGCATTATCAGGGAAAAAACACTTATGAATAAATGGAGAATACTTTGCAGGGTACTTTTTAGAAGACAGACTGAAGTCGTACTGCATGAGTACATGTCACCTCATAATCAGGTCAGAAAAAGAGAGAAGTAATCACAATGTAATTGTCATGATTTCAACAGATTCCACTATGGACAAACCAATGAAATGAGACATATTTCAAGAGCATTCAATGAAGAGCAGAAGCTGTAAGATGGTGTTACCTTGGCAAGTTCCGGCAGGTAGCTATCTAACCCGGAACCAGGGCCTTCCAATTTGCTTTGTTCATCATCTAGAATGGCAAAACAGATTATCGGAGTCACTTGTAATTCACAGTATTCCACTTGAAACAGAAGGAGGAAGGCCATCTCTCCTAGGTGCCTTCAATCGAACACAGTGGTTCCCTACTCTGGATGCTCATGGGAAACAATTGGGGGGCTTTGAAAAAAAACACTGATTCACAGGCCCAGTACTCAAGACACTGAGTAGCTGGTATAGCACGGACACCGTCCAATGAGAACTGACACTAGCTATGAACAATGGCCTGCATGGACACATTCATGAGACCCCCTAAAAGTCAGACCTGCCCAGCCTCCACCACAGGCCAACTAAATCAGAATCTTCTGTGGGACCAGGTAAGCAATATTTTTAGAAAGTTCCCAGGTACTTTTAAGAGGAAGCCAGGATTGGGAACGAAAACATGAACTGTCAAGAACACAGCGAGATTTTTCTCACCAATTTAATCTGAGGCTCTCATGCATTCTGATTATTACTAATATTTTATAATACAGTACAAATTCTGTGCTAGATGCTTGAGATTCATTTGCTTATTTACTATTCCCATCTGACCAGTAATTTTCATTTTTATTCCCATGTTATAGGTGAGTAAACTGAGGCTCAGAAAACGTAAGCTGTTTACTCAAGGCTACACAGCTGAAATGTGGTATTTATGGGACTCAAACCCAAGTCTTCCTTTCTGCTTCCAAAGCTTTGGTTCTTCCCATTACATGATCTCCATATACAAAATGTCAGGGAAGTAGGTGATAATGTGACAAAATCTTTGCTGACAGGCTATTTGTAAAGACCTCCTATCCGTTCCCACCTCTCACGAACTTGGACAACACAGGTCTCCTTCCTACTCATGTGGAAAAGCTAAAGGCACCCACAGAGTGTGTGTGCCTGGGGGAAGCCAAGCCTACCTACCTTCATGAGAGTCGCCATTCCGCTTTTCTTGCATTGCAGCTTCAAAGTTGAGCTGGAGAATCTTATTTAGAATTGTGATCCATTCTTCCATTTCCACTTCACTGTCCGCTGCCAGGAGATAACTACTTTTGTCTTGCATCTTGAGCTCAAAGGCAAAACGCCTGACTTTGTTGTTCTGAAATGGAAAAGGGATAAAGAGACATATTTTAAAAGAATTAGAACTGCTTTAAAATAACTTCTCTCTCTTATTTGCTGCTGGGTACTATCTCACTGGCACTTAGAAGCAAGCTATTTAAAACTGCAAGCCCCCTCCTCATGAAACCCCATCACTACCCACCTTCCCTCCTTACTTTCTCCACCGCTTTATTTTCCCATCTGACTCATTACCTACTTTACATACTTATTTGATGCACTGTGTGTCCCTGCAGTGGAATGTAAGCTCCTCAACGCTCCCATTTTGCTTAGAGCTACACATCCTTAGTCTCTACAACAGTGTCTCGCACATAGTGGGTATTTGAAAACTATTTGTTGAATAAATGAAATTTCATGTGAAATTTTCATATTTCTTCAGCTCCTATTTTTTTAAATGAGGTAGTATATGGTATTCCATTTCAAAAAGCCAGCCATTATCTATTATCATGTTTGGCTTACTTATCTGGAACTCTCTTATCCTTTATGGATCCCGAAAGGTATTTGGACTCCCTGTCTGTGGCCATGCCGCATGCCTCCGGTTTTCAGGTCTGCGAGAGGGTGGCTGGCTCAAAGAACAAGAACAGCAGTCCACGCGCAGGAACGAACGGACGGAAGATGCATACACGACACCAGGATTTCTTAGCCTCTGTACTACTGACACTTGGGTGGCCAATTCTTTGCTGTGAGGGGCTGGCCTGGGAGTTGTATGATGTTTAGCAAAATTCATGGCCTTAAGCCACTAGATGCCAGTCTCCAGACATTGCCACATGCCCTCCAGGGAGCAAAATCTCCCCAGGTTGGCCGCACTAGGTAGGGGTTCAGCTCTGAGGAACATGGCACAAGATTCCTTATAAGGACAGCCTGAGTGATGTGAAATTGAACACTCCCACTAATCTGAGCGGGCAGGAAAGCCCCCCACATAGCCAGTACAATCCTACAGGGTAATCCACAGTCCCTGCAAGAGTTCCTTGGTGGAGGCCTCAGGGACAGGGCAACACTCCCAAAGGTCCCTGTGATTTTGCAGCACAGTTCTTAGAAATGCAAAGTCAAGTGCTCCCCTTGGCAAAGCCACGCACTCTTATGCACAGACTGTTCGCTGCCAGCTCAGTAATTGCCACCTTGGATTTCACTTAAACTTTAAGGCAAGAACCAGGAAGAAGTCAAAGGCTAGAAACAAAATGAGTTTTCTCTCCTCCATTCCCTGCATACTCACGATCATGAAAAGAGAAAGTTAGAAGTAGAACATTAGGCCTCAATTCTAAATAATTCCTCTTTCTGAGCCTCAGTTTCCTCATCTCCAAAATAAGTATAATAAACTTCAAGGGTTCTAAAATACTTGCGAAATTTTTAGCTTAGGCATTTTTTTTTAATTCACAGCACCAGTCAACTAATTATTTTTTAAACATCCACAAGTAATAATTTTTTTAAAAACCTTAAATCACAACTTTTGATGCTTATTTTACAAACAGACATGGATAAAAACAATTATTTTACTATTTGAAGTCTTGGATACAATTTATTAAACGAAAAACACCATCAGCTGCATCTGCAAAGACAATCTGAAGGAAGAGACTTCCCACTGAAGTCAGAACCTCAGATTTCAAAACGCACCCCAGAGACTAATTGATAGCTCAGGGCTGTTGTACTTATAAGCATCTGTCCCCTGGGCCAAAGACATGCAGCCAAACTCTCTTATAAAACAAAAATAATGACTTCCTACTTTAAAAAATGAGGTTGCCAAATATATTTAGCTTTGCTTTACCTTTTTATTTTGAAAGTCAGTGCCAGAAAACTCAGCTAAAAAGTAACTTAAAGGTCTTTTGACTAAAGAATTCAAAGAAAACCCTTCCTTGTCCCACCCAAGAAGTTAATGCACTGTCATTGATAAATCACTCGGGCACTCCTTACTTCACAAACACTGTCAATAAGCATATTCTCATATAATGAGATTGTTGGTAGTGGTGGCTTCTAGCGGAGGCTGAACTGCCAGCTGAGAGACATCCACGTTAGCTGTTGACTGAAAATAATTTTCAGTGAGCCTTAAGTGGTGCTGTAGTCTTGATCTTGGGCCCAAATACAGTTTCACATATTTGACCTTCTTCCTCTTTCTTCTTTTTTTTTTTTTTTTTTGGCAGGTGGGGGGTGGGTACTGCACAGTGGTTTTTTGTTTTCTTTTTTGTATCCTCTCAAATTACCTTTTGGTGTTTTTTATTTGTTTTTCAAAGTGTTTTTTAAAATTAGTTACCAATAATCAAAGTTACCAAGGTTTAACTAAAATTCTGTATTTCTGGCGTTTTGAGAAACCAAATGATTTGGCACCTTTGAGCTGGGGGTCCCACCTGGGGGCACCAGCTGCAGGTGGGCATCGGATGCCCCCTTTAAATGGGGCACTGGGCTCTAGGTCACCCCAGCGTTCCCTATTGCTTTGCCACCAGGCCTCTCTCTGTCACTTAAGTTTTATCTCCTTGGTCCTGCAGACATCTGCTTCTGGACCCCTCCCTTCCACTGCTGACCAGGAGGTAGAAACAGGATCTGGACTTACTCTCCCACCATCATTGCTAGAAAACTGGACAAAACAGATGAAGTAAGGGTTTTCAGATAGGGGACAACAGGCAGTTTAGCCCTTTCTCTGTGGAAGAGAAAGATACCAGTTGGCTCCATATCACCTCAGCTTTCTGCCTGGAGGCAGTATCTGGGTCGTGGCACAGGAAGGGGAATCCAAACAAAGCCCTGCTGTCTTGCTGAGTAGAAGACACTGACCAGAGCTGAGGAAGACCAAGGTGGCCAGAATATGCAGGGCAGAGTCTCCAGAATGATGGGAAATAAAACAGCACCAAGACAAGACAGAGTCCAGCTCCGGAAGGACTCACTAAGTCACACATGCATTAGGTATATGTTTTCTATTTACCTATTATACCTTATTTTCTATTTATATGTTATACCTCAACAAAAAAGCTTGCCAAAAAATAAAATAAAAATCAAGACACAACCACCAAAATTTCAGAACACTAAAGAGAAGACCACAAACAACAGGGATTCTGAATAACATCAGAATCCTCTAAACAACAGTAGAAACTAGAAGGCAACGGGATACCTTTGAAATTTCAAGGTAAAATGATTTCACTTTGGATTTTATAACCAGCCAAACTGTGAGTCAAGTGTGAATGCAAAAATAAAGATATAAGCAGATACCCTAATTCTCAAAAAAGTTAACATCTCACACACAATTCCTTAGGAAGTTGCTGAAGATGTACTCCTCCAAAACCAGAAAGTAGAATAAGAAAGAGGAAGACATAAGATCCTAGAAACAGGAAGCCCAACACAGGGAGGAAGACAGACCGAACGTCTAGATGGCAGGTATGCAGGGCAGGGAAAGCAATTTGTCCAGATTAGAAGCAGAAGGAGGGTGCCAGGAGCTAAAATCCTATCTACCAGCATAGAAAGTCAAGCAATGACGTTCAAAATCAATGAATGAGTAAACAGCAGTGAACACTTATGATCTAGCAAGACTATTTCAAGGGAATAGGATGTGAGTGGGTGGGGTGATGCAGGGGTGAAGCACTGCCTTTCAGCACTGCTGGGCTGTTTCAACCAGACAAATATATTCCTTGCATGAAAATGCATGTTAATTTTAGGTAAACATGGAAATATATAGCAAGTGTACCTTTGATCAAACCAGATAGCTGTGTCACACTGGCCCCACCAAACAATCTCCTTACAGAATCGAGCTACAGGCCGATGTGAAGAGCCACCATGGAGTCATTTGAAGGGAGAATTCTTTGATAATGGTGACTGCATCTTTTGTGAAACGTTGATAGGAAGACTGATCATCAGTCACAGAGCCTTCTGTCTGAGGGGACCCTGAGAAAACTGCCTGAATGATCTTCATTCTGAGACGACTTGGGCAGCTTCTGACTAATTGGATTGTCGGTATCTTATGTGCACTGTGAATTGTGTGACTGAACAGGTCTCCAAGTTAGAAGGCACAGAGCCGGTGTTGGATCTTCAAAACATATGCTTTCTCCTTAACTATTTTCTCTCACCCTTATCCCAACCCCCTGTTCATCTTTCTGGTTTCACCCCCACTTTAAGTTTATGATATCCCATATCCTATGTATGCTTGTAAGCTGTGGCCTTAAATCTTCCTGAAAAGTGGCAAGGCTGGACGAATGGAGGGGTGAACAGATGGATGGATGGATGGATGGATGGATGCACGGACAGATGGACGGATGGACAGATGATGGATGGGGAAACTGACAATTCTCTTCCAAAGACAATGCTAAAAAGCTATAGAAGGATCATGCAAAACTGGTAGTAGCTTCCTGCAGAAAACAGACGGGAGGAGGGGAGGAGTTCAGAAGGACGTTCATTTTATCTGTATTGTCTGATTTTTTAGAATAAAAATACATTCATGTGCTATGTACAACTAACAATTTTTTAAGGATAAATACATAAGCCCTATGGTACAAAAGCACAACGGTCCTGTGATAACAAAACTATCTAATATTGGCCAAATGCTTACCATTTTTTGGCAGTGTTCTAAGCTCTTTACATGTGCAATTAACTAACCTTCTCAGTAACCATATTTGGTACTGTCATTATCCCTATTTTACAAATGAAGAAACTGAGGCACAGAGAGGTTAAATAACATTTCCAAGGTTGCAGAGCTGGTAAGTGAAGGAGCAGATATTTGAACTCAATCTGTGCTGAAACCTAATCTCTTTACTGATCTACATAGCCATTGGTACTATAACGCTAGTGATAAAAATAACCACTGAGATATGAGCACTATGAAGTGTTATAAGTATTTCCCTGCATTGATTCATCCAATGCACTCATTATCATATTAAAGAAACATTCTCATTATCTGAGTTAAGTAGTCTGTCAAAAGTCACACAGCTATAAAATGGCTGAGCCAGAATGCTCCCGCCTGCCATAGCATAATTCTGCCTCTACCTTATCTGTGCCATATTCTATAATAATGAAAAACCAGCCTTTCCTCATTTAAAGTTAGATACCTTTCTACCATGCATATTGCCATTTTTGGAAGTGTTTGCTTAAATCTGCTAATTTATACATAAGCACTATTGCAGGTAAGGAAACATGATGGTAAAACTCTTTTCTTATTTACCTGAACCACACCCATACAGGAATCCAGAAATATTGATCCTTTTGGTTCTTTGGAGATCTTTTCATCTTTATAAAAATTCAAATTATAAGATCCATCACCAAGTTGAATCAGGTGGAAAAATCGTCTCTTAAATGACTGAGAAAAAAACACACACAGATATTCTTTTAAAATGAAGAGAGGGTCACAATCTCTATCAATAACCCACTTATGACTACACACCTACATAAAACCTGTTTCTGGTCTCACTCTAGCTGACGCTCCAGGTCACTGCGGGGTTAAGACTCCCCATCTCAACCAAGAGGGTCACCGCATCTCAGTTCTGAGGAGGTGGTTCCCCTAATATCCCCAGGTCGTTTTTCTCACCCACAGAATCAGAGATTTTACATAACTACCCAAAAGCAGTGCAGGGACTTCCAATTTGGGATGAAACATAGAAGGACGGAAAATTTCTCTAAAATCCCCAGGGTTTCTGGCTCACAGAATGGGAACTATTTTTTCCCTCGTGATGCTGAATGATTCTCCAGCCTCGGGGTAATGGCACTTACATTTCCTCCTTCATTGTTATCTCCCTGTTCATCTCCCTGCCTCCTTTGTTATCAATCCTGATCTTCCTCTGGTCCCACTTTTCTCCTGAATAGCTTCTTCTATTAGTTAGACTTCTCTCTATGCAACCTTCTCTTCTATGCAATGATTTTCTTTTTCCGTCCTCAATTTTTGCTTTACTTGACTTTGTTATAGTACATCTCCACAGAAGTGCTCAGGATTGGCATGGCACAGAGCCCCTTGGTGACATTCTGTGAGGTAACACGGAACACTTTTCGGTTACTACAGAGAAGAAAGCCTATGTCAGTGACTGCACCTTCACACCAGCCCAGGGATGGTCTCCTTATGCTGGTGGTCAGAAGACAGTGAGGGAAAGTGGGTGAATGGGGCTGTGCCAATGGGGGGGCTATCACCAGGGGAGCATCCTAGGAACCAGACAATGTCCCTTTTGTCAGGAAGAACAGCACGCACATTCATCTTGAGCATTGTTCTCACACTCTATGGCAGAAAGGGCTTGTGTGGGGGGGGCAGAGTGACACGCGTCCTCACCCTCATGGTCACGCTGATGGCACTGTTCATGTTGCCTTTGTACAGCCAGCCATGCTTGGTGATCCCACCCTTCTGGGAACCGAGGGAGGCAGCATCCTAGGACAGAAGGAAAACACCACCAGTCAGCCTCCCGTTACTATCTGGGTTACTTGCTGTGAGTTTGGTCAATGCGAAGGTCATTCCTTTTGTGCCAAGTTGTCCATTGCCCCTTTACTGAAATACCTACCCATTGACACCAATGCCTACAAGTCACATAAAAGTCCACTTAGCAATAAAAGAGAGAGACCCACTTACATTTCTGAAAACTTTATTCCATTAAAAGCAAAGCTAGCTCCTGTCCAAATTTTTGTCAGTGTTTAATGGGCCACAAAAGGACATCCCACACTGGACCACTCAAGTTGGAAGGTCTTGCCTGGTTTCATGAAAAAATGTTTTCAAATTACACTCCCCTATAGTCAGAGGACAAAAGCACATTCCTGGAAACTTTCCCAGAGGCTTAGTTCAGGGAAAGGTGAATAAAGAAAGGGAGGAAATGTGAGGTAATACAGAAAGGAGAGATAAAGTGATGGGGGGAAAGAGAAGGAGAGACAGGCAAGAATGCAAGCAGGGACAGAGGGGATGAAAGGGGGAGTCAGAGAAGGGAAAAGAAAGAGCTGAGTGAGAGAAGTGAAGAGACCTGCTTTGTAAGCACAACCACGCACCGCAAGACCTGGGTTTAACGAGGAGTTAACATGGAGCTGCCAGCTGCTGCTACAGATATGGTAAGCACATAATAGTATGTATAACAGAAAGAGGAAAAATATACCCGTAATACACACAGTCTGTCGAAGCTTTTGTAATCAGACAGTTGCAGAAAGACGCATCATATATTTTGTCTTAGACGATCTCAATGCTAATATTGGTGGTTTTACTATTGCTATCAATAGCAATAATAGGAATAATTTGCCATCTAGGATTTTACAGCTTGGTGTATGCCCTTACATGCAATATTCCCACTGGTCCTCCTGTCACTATTCATGCCCATCAGCTCCAAGTTCCCAATATATTGTTCATTTTGAATGAGCACTAATTTTTCTTAGAATTATTTTAAAAGTGGTTTCTAAAATAATTTGCTACATGCAAATGGCTCATGTTATAGCTCAGTTGGCAATTTTTTTAAGAAAGGAAAAGCCTAAACTCACAATGGGACATTCAACCTTCAGTGGGGAGAATGAGAAATGCGGAGATGTGCACTGTCTTTTGCGAGGTTTCCCTCACTCTGCTCAGTGTCCCACTCCCTTTATATACTTCTTTAGCCATGAGATTTAGCATTTCTGACTATAATGCTAGTGATAAAAATCTTTATCCATGAGCTTTTCTCTAGGAGGAGGAGGAGTGAGCTTGATAAAATCAGACTTCACTGAAAGCAATCACTGAAGACATAGCCATTAAAATCTACGGGCTGGCAGTTGTTTCAAGATCTGTTGAAAAACACCCTAAATTCAAGGTCTAAGTAATCTTGATATCTTTTAACAATGTAGTCCAATCGGATCCAAGTCTTTGAAAATGATCTCAGAACAAATAAACACAACCAAGAGAACATGAAATGCTGAGCGGCGAACTTGAAACAGAGACCTTATTCCAGTCAATCAAGAACATGAAAAAAAAATTGTTCCCGTTTCATGAAACACTTGAATGCCTGTTTTGGCTAAATGTTGGTAATTTTCTAACTAATCTAAGTCTGTAAAATGGATGTTTAAATCCAGAGCAAAAGAGAAGCAACAGCAAGCAGGTATCCCACCTCATCTTTATCGACCTCCTCGTCAACTTCATAGACATGAACTGGAAGTTTATCCAACTTGACCACTTTGCTATAAAAACAAGAAAGAAAATTTGTTTTACAAATGCCTAGTCAAGGAAGAGGCTTTGCATTTCCTCCTCCATCAGAGGGCCCAGGCGTCACTAAATCCAAAGATGGCCCAGCTTCATTACTCAGATAAAGAATAAAACCATCTATGTACTTTGCTTTTCAAGGTGGATAAGCCAAGAGACTTGAGTAAGAAAACTCCAAAAAGCTATGTGGGAAAGACAGCATAGCTTCTGGGGAGTTAGCAGGCATTTAAAAAATAAAGTGGATTAGTTTTTAATAAACAAAGACTTGGTAGAATAACTTTTAATACAAAGTTTATGAGGAAAAAAAAGAAGATTGAGTTGTTGCATTGAAAGTGATTAACGACAGTGGTATCAACCACAACAAAACAAGACGCTTGCATTTACTCAGTGGGGTAGGTGCCAGGCCCAGTGCGCCTCTCACGTGCCACCTCATTTGATCCTTTAATGATGGTGACTGTTGTTGAGGCCATTTAACAGTGAGGAAACTCAGGCTTGCAGAGGGCAGAGTTGTCCCAGGCAGAATGTAGAATCTGTGTTCTTCGCCAGTGTTACCATTCTCCGTCTCTTTCTCATCACACATTTGGAAATTCTTATTAGTGCGAAAAGGGAAAAGGTACCCCCAGTCTTATGAGACAGTAAGTACATGACATCACATAGTCTGGTATCTTTCAACCCTGAGACTATGAACAAAATGATCAACAAAGATGGGTTGAGCCAATCCAATGGGAAGAATTCAAAAATCCCAAAGGGAGGATTGGGTAAATATAGTATTAAAGAGCATACCCATCTGGAGAAGATAATGCTAGGAGGGAGTGTTCCCGGCTGAGGTTTAAAGAGGCAATCAGGGAACTGGCTGAACACTCTTAAGGAGTGGCAAAGCCACACAAGGAGGAAAAACAAACAGCTAGGTCCACTGAGAACAGCGTAAAAGGTTCCAGCTCAAAGATTTAACAAACACAAAGAAAAATGCATTAATCAGGCCTCAAGTAATATTTTCATTGGTGATGGTTAGTTTTAAAACATAATCCATCACTAGTTGCTTTCAATTTTCATAATCAAGTGTACTTCAATTTGCCAACTGCTATGGTTTGGATATAGTTTTTATTCCCACCAAAACTCAGATTGAAATTTGGTCCATAATATTGCATTTCTGGGCCTAGTGGGTCGGGGGCAAATCCATCATGAAATGCTTGGTGCTGTTCTCACAGTAATGAGTGAATTCTTGTTCCTGGCAGGATGGAAGTACCTGTTGCTGAAATGGATTAGTAACCAAGAGAATGGGTTGTTATCAAGTGAGGCTCCTCCTCCTCTTTGGTTTCTCTTCTCAAGTGCCAGCTTTCCCTTTGACCTTCTCCTTCATGTTTTGAAGCAGCACAAAACTCTTCACCAGAAGCTGAGCAGAAGCATGTGCTATGCTTCTTGTACAACCTACAGAACTATGAGCGAAATAAATCTCTTTTCTTCGACGGGTGCGATGGCTCACACTTGTAATCCCAGCACTTTGGGAGGCTGAGTCAGGTGGATCACCTGAGGTTAGGAGTTTGAAACCAGCCTGGCCAACATGGTAAAACCCCATCTCTACTAAAAATACAAAAGTTAGCTGGGTGTGGTAGTGCTTGCCTGTAATCCTCCTGCTACTCAGGAGGCTGAGGCAGGAAAATCGCATGAACATGGGAGGTGGAGGTTGCAGTGAGCTGATGTACTCCTGCCTGGGTGACAGAGCGAGACTCTATCTCAAGAAAATAAATAAAAATATATAAATAAATAAATCTCTTTTCTTTATAAATTATCCAGCCTCAGGTATTCCTTTAAAGCAACACAAAATGGACTGAGACACCAACTGTGTCATTTTGGGATGTACCCTTCAACAGACGGTCTCCCACGGCAATACCGACCTACCCCGATTCAGTCAACCACCACTATTCATTCTAAACACTACTGCTTCTGGTATACTTTAGAATAAGTTAATATTTTAAAGGAGGTTAAAAAAAAAAAATCTAACTGGGAAAATGCTTGTTTCTTGATTTACTTTTTTTTAAAACATAAAATTTATTCAATGTAAAATGTTCTTTAGAAGTATCTTCCTCAAAATATTCTTTTCAAGGAAAAAATATACTGCGGCATATTTCAGTACACTTACATTTTCTTATAATTCTTAGTGAAAAAATTTCACTTATTTATGGTTGTTTATCAGTGGTACCCTGAAAAGAATCACTGGACATATGAAACCATCTGCATGTTCATTACTGCTTATCAATGGCAGAGTAGAATATCTGAGTCTTGCAATCAAAGGCCCTGTAAGCAATAGTCACACCACATACACAGAAACCATCCAGAAATATTTTCTCCAGTTACTCTGATTGCATATGAAGTTACACACCTCCCCTCAAGCATTTCAAGTACAAAGACTTTTTTCCCTATGTGTATAACATTGTTTACTCACTTCGGAAGCTGTCGAAACTCTCCTGAGTAATCTTCATATTTATAGTTCACAAGATGCCAGTCAGAGTTATAGGTTTTGATGCACTATTGAAGGGGGATTTTAAAAACAGAAAATAAAAAACAGAAAGATACGTGATGATTTTTTGGAAAACACTTGGGAAAGTTTCTGAAGGCATACTCATACAAACATCAAAAAAAAATCTTGCCCATCAACCAGTTAATGCCTGAAATTCCACCACCAGACTCCTGTGAAGCTTGAGACTTCGAACCACTGAAACATTACCTTTGGGGGCAGTATCACTTTAAGTTATCATCATTAATGATCTGAGAGCAGATTTTACAAGGAGACAACTTCACCTAACCTTGTGACATTTACGTAACAATGAACTATTTCAGACTAAGCACCTGGTTCTTAAGAAGCCATCTGGCCTCTATTAGGAGATGATAGTGAATAGAATGCATGAACTTAAAGACACTTTCATGGTATTTACTAACATTAGAACTAGCTCTGTTACTTAATATTTAACTTAAAAGCTTTCATGGTTTTTACTTATATAAGAACTAGCTCTGTTAGTTGATACTATCATACAAATTTCCCCCCAGTTTTTCTTTCCATTCATAAGAAGAAGAGTGAAATAATTAGGAAAAAGATTTGGATTTCAATTAACATTAGCACCATGACATTTTCATCTCTGTGTGTATACAGAATATTTAATGTAGTCCTCAACTGCCAAAGGTTCTCTTAGTGACCTAACCTACACAGACTGCATTCAAACCACCTCGCCACATGACAGATTCAATGGGCCAGCCCGGTGTCTGTCATTCATTTAACCATGAAGATCCTCCAGCAGTGCATACAGCCTAAGATTATAATTTGACATCCACCAGATCGTCAAATATGAATGAGTCAAAATCAAAAGGAAAAGTATTTTAGTTAAAATCAGCTTAGTTCAAACAATCTGTACAGTCAGCACTTGACTATATATATGCCGACTTCAGTGTACACAAAAAAGCATGAGTGAATCAGTGAAAATATAGGTAGGTAAATGTATTTATGCCTTATCTAGTTTATTTGACTCTGCCTATAATTAACATGAACAACATTTCTACTGTCAACCTTTTTATCTGTGTCATAGGCTATGCCTGAAGGCCTTCTGAAGCAAACTCCCCTCCACCTCCAAACTCATGAAAATAATAATTGCAACAGCAGCAAGCGCGGACTTTGTGCCAGGCTCTACGATAGCACTTTACTAGCAAGGGTGTTATGTGAAGGTAAGTTTTTAAAATTATGCTGAGAGGTGGAATAAATACCAGAGAAGGGCTAAGAGCAGAGTCAGTTGACCAACTTTTCAGTTTTTTTACGATGTAGTTATGAATATTTTAAAACACTATTTTATCCTTGAAAATGATTTTTTTTGATTTCTCAAAGCATTTTCACATTTAGAGTATCATACATTCACAATCCAAACTGCATTCTAAAACCAATCAGATTTCAGAATGATCCATAGTTTTGGGTTTTCCCACTACTGCCTCGTGCCCACTGGCACAGCTAAGTAGTCAGGCCTGACCATGTACAACACAGTCTTGTGGGCAAGCTCCTATTATCTTCAGAGAGCCATAGTGGGATTTCATCAAGCACTGCAGCTCAAGTTGTACCACCAAGTCTCCTGCAGGGCATTAAAGCTATTCTGAAATATAAGACGTACTTGTCAAATTAAAACCTAAACAAACCAGCATAAATTTGTATATTATAAATGCATTTATAAATGAAGTTCAAATTTTAATACCTTAGGCAAAATGGGGAAAATAATTTATATTTTATTACATTCAAATATTTATAATTATAAGGAATTGTACATACTAAAAACACTCCACAGTGAATCTGGCTAAGTATTTAGAGATTCAGTGATTTAACAAGCCATTGTTGACCATCTACATAGCAGCCACTGGCTAAATTCCAAAGCAGAAGCACAGAATTAGGCAAGCAACCCCCACACCTCTGGGGATATAGAAAGTCTAGGAGATAAGGCGTCCCATCAGAAACCCAGATCCAGAGAACTGTACCTCCAAAAAGACAGAAATGTGACTGACATTTCAAACTTGTGAAATTAAATAATATTTTGAAGTTACACTCAAAGGTTTTTGAAGTTTTTCTTTTTCTGTTTTGTTTTGCTTTGTTTTAAGCCATTAGGTCATTCTCTGGATCAGAGGATGAAGAGGAAATAACGTTCACTCCACCCAAGTGGAAGGTCCCAAAAGTATTTAGTTATGTTGGCTCTAGCGGCACAGAATGAAACAGCTATTTCTCAGCTTGCAGTGATTAAAAAACTTAATGGAGAATTCTCCCTTTAAAAAACATATTTTTTTAATCAACTAGGAGAATTGAATTAGCAATTAATAATTTTGCCACATGCTTTAAAACATAGGTCAACAAACTTTTTGTGCAAAAGGCAAGATCGTACATATTTTCAGCTTTGAGGGTCCCATTATATCTGTTACAATTACATAACTTTGAGTTGCATGGTGACAGCAGATATAGGCAATATGTAAACAAATGTGCTTGGCTGCTTTACAATAAAACTTTATTTACAAAAATAGGCTACAGACAGATTTTGCTTGCAGGTCATAGTTTGCTACCATCTCCCTTAAAAAGGCATTTATAACTACATACATTCACAAACATATTTGGTTGTATTTGTCTGAAATTAAGTTTACTAATATAGTGGCAAAGGAGGTAAGACAGAAAGTTACCTTTTCAGAAAGATGAGAAAACACACCTTAAATTTTTTAAATTTTATATTTAATTTTTTAAAAATCTCAATGGAAATGACATATTATTATTTAATTGGTCTTTATCTATAAAAGTATACACAGCTTTCTTATGTAAGCAATTTTATTGACAGGCATATTTATGATCTAAATATCAACTAGAAAAATCAGGATTAGAAAATCATTTTTAAATGAAGGAGCACTTAAAGAAACAAAATTAAAACACCTAATTATTCCTTCCTACCTAAAATTACCTGGAGGAAAAAACAAACACTCCAAGGAGAAAAACTAAAGCAAGCCACCTAAATTACAGTAATTTGTCATTCTGGCCAGGCACGGTGGCTCATGCCAGTAATCCCAGCACTTTGGGAGGCCAAGATCGCTTGAGGTCAGGAGGTTGAGACCAGCCTGTCCAACATGGTGAAACCTCATCCCTACTAAAAATACAAAAATTAGCTGGGCATGGTGGCACATGTGTGTAATCCCAGCTACTCGGGAGGCTGAGGCAGGAGAACCGCTTGAACCCGGGAGAGGCAGAGGTTGCAGTGAGCTGAGATTGCTCCAAAGCACTCTAACTTAGACAACCGAGCAAGACTCTGTCTCAAAAAATAAAAATAAAAATAAAAAATAATAAATAAGTAAATAGTTTATCTTTCCTCCATAATACAATTTTATGTGTATGCTCAAATAAAAGTAATATTAATCAACGTCTCTTGATTAGGAATACATATAGTAATCAATATATATAATAATACATATTGACCAGTGATAGGCCCTGCTTATTATCAGCTAGTACTTCATGAATACTAAACTAGTCAAAAATAACCTGCAAATATAAATACATAAATGAAATAAATGATACATAAATGTGTGTGTTGCCCTTAAAACAGGATTAGTGACAAGGCCTCCAACAGATTTCCAGTGAATTCATTTACAAGTTACTGCTTATTTCAAGCCCATGAGATAAACTCTGGAGAATTCACTTTTTGTAGTCAGATATAGCCCCCTCCAAATAAATTTTTAAAAATAATAAAAATATAAAAAAGGAATAGCCCCTGTGGACATTTTTGTCAGTTTCAGAGTCTGAAAACTTCACATTATTCTCTTATTTGAACTTCCATCATAAAATCATAATTAGTCCATTGACACTTGTTGAAAATTTTGAAATTTAAAGAAAAGGAGGCAGTTAGGGGAAAATGACTTTAAAATGTAAAACAATGCAAAAAAGAGCCTTACCTCTGTAACAAATAAGCTGTGTGCTTCCTCTTCCGCCTTTGCAGGCACTGTTGAGCATATGTATCGACCCTGTCGTCTCAGGATGGCCGTCTGGAAATAAAAACATGAGGAAAAGCCTTGGGTAAGTAAAGGAGGCAGGTGCCAGCCTCAGAGTGCAGCTGTGTGCCCTGCAGCTGGGCCTGGCACCCATAGAGTCCCTCCAATTTCCCCCAGCCAGTGCAGCTGCCTCCTTGGGTCACACACAACAGATTCCATTTGGCAACCTCAAGTTCCAAAGCCAGGCTGGGTCACAGCTCTTGCTTCTTTCTGAATCAGGCACCCACGGATCTCTCCAGCCAGCCCCTCCTGCAGGGTACAGGCCCCTTTCAAAGTCTGTTAACACCCCACCCCCAAGTGCTTGATCTAGTCCCATGACATAGCATTTTACTTGCCTTAACTGCTTTTATACAAAACATAAATTTACCAGTTTAAACATTTTGAAGTGTACAGTTCAGTGGCATAAAGTACATTCACACAATTGTGCAACCATCACCACCACCTACCTCTTGTCATTTATATCTGTTCTTGTTCACTGCCACATCTCCAGTGCCTAAGAGCATAGATAACTAGACACACAGAAGGTCCTCAGTCAGTAATTGTTAAATGAATCTATGATCTGTGAATGCTACCTCCCCTCCAAGGAACATTAGAACTGTTCTTGTTCATCAGGCTGAAATGCTTGTCTTAAATAAAATGACAGGGGTAAGATCCTGTATACCTTAATAACTGGCTTCAGGTTTCATTTTCTTTTTTCTTTTTAATTTTTAAAATTTTTTTGAGACAGTCTGTCTCTCCTGCCCAGGCTGGAGTGCAGTGGCATGATCTCGGCTCATTACAATCTCTGCCTCCTGAGTTCAAGTGATTCTCATGCTTCAGCCTCCTGAGTAGCTGGGACTAGGCATGCACCACCACACCTGACTCATTTTTGTACTTTTTTAGGAGAGATGGGATTTCACCATGTTGCCCAGGGTGGTCTCAAACTCCTGAACTCAAGCAATCCACCTGCTTCAAATTCCCAAAGCATTAGGATTACAGGCGTGAGCCACCACACCTGGCCTTATTCTTTAAACAGAGATGGGGTTTCACCATGTTGCCCAGGCTAGTCTCAAACTCCTGGGCTCAAGCAATCTTCCGCCTGACCTCCCAAAGTGCTGGAATTACAGGTGTGAGCCACCATGCCTGGCCTTCAGGTTTCAGAAAGAAATACTCTAGCTTTTTTCTCCCATGGACTATAACCCTTAGGTAATATTAACAAGATCATAGTCGGCCAGACGCAGTGGCACACGCCCATAATCCTAGCACTTTGAGAGGCTGAGGCGGGTGGATCACTTGAGGTCAGGAGTTCAAGACCAGCCTGGCCAACATGGTGAAACCCTGTCTCTACTAAAAAGGCAAAAATATTAGTCAGGCATGGTGGCACATACCTGTAATCCCAGCTACTTGGAAGACTGATGCAGGAGAATCACTTGAAGCCATGAGGCGGAGGTTGCAGTGAGCTGAGATCGTGCCACTGCACTCCAGTCTGGGCAACAGAGTGAGACTCCATCTCAAAAAACAAAAACGAAAACAAACAAACAAAACAGATCACAGTCATTAGAGCAGCAAACAAGCAAACACTGTTAACAGAATCCATCCTGTTAGCTCTTCATGGCAAATGACTATGCTGGGATCTCACAGCCTTGGTCCTGGCAGTTTCCCTTCTTTTGGTTGGAGGTGGCACTGGGTCAAACCTCTGCTCCCTTATCTTCCAGCCCAGGTGGAGAACTTTAGGGCATGTGTTTTGTGTACAATTTAATTTTATTTCCTGCCTGCATTTTCTCTCTGCTGTGCCTGCTTCACTTATAATTATGCTTTTCTTCCACTGTATCTATCTTTGAAAATAATCTTAAAGCCTATTTTTAGAATAAGACCCCCATTCTAAAGGAATGGAAGAAATGAATTCTGTTCTTCACCAAAGTCCCTGGCAGGTAAATTATTCATTCCTTCAGCCTCCTGGGAACTTTATTACACATCTGTTCTTGTGAAATGCCACAGAGATGAGTGACCATAAGCATGGAAGAAAGGCACAAGCTGTTCAAAAAGCTACAAAGCAATATACTGTCTACATATAGACTGTCACAACTGTTATGAAAGGGATGCTATCAATAAAGGGGGATTATTTATGAAATTCTGTATGCTTCGAAAAAGTATACATTCTATGTTCCTACTTACTGTGTCCTGATCTTGATTTATCTGGGTCTTTCAAAATTTTTGAAACTAATTATCATACTTTTAAAACATTCATGAAATAGCTCATGTCAAGAAATAGGACTATTAGGGTCACTTCTAGACCATTCTTCATCCTAACATTAGGAAGAAAAAAAATCTATGACAAAAATTTCCCAGTAGAATAACCAACTCAAGAAACTTTAATTATGTTTGGAAAAAAACTTTTCCAAACACCTCTCTAAGGTGAGAAAAGTAATAGGAAATAGATCTTTTTAAATTCTTGTATATCAAAGTCCCATTGTGTTCTTACTTGGGAAAAAAAAAGTAACGTTAAATTACTAAAGAGAGGCCTGAATTATTCTTTTTCCTTCATGTAAGTTCCACAGAAGGAGAGAAACCTGAGTTTTAACAGGTAAGATAGCATAATGTTTCTCATTTTAAAATTAGGTTTACACATGAATCATTACTGATCAATTCCTAACCTTGATTTTGACAAAAAATGGTTTTCTGATCAGAGCCCTTTTTCTCTCCCAGAGACTTCATCCAAATAAACTAAACTAGATGTGTTTCTTTAGTATGTATGTAGCATAAGTGCTATTTTTTAGTGCATGTCTTGAACCACACACTATTCGATCTCTTTTAGATAATCTCCAAAATGGCTGCTACCCTTCCTCATCTATGCGTAGTGTTCCACACACCAAAAGGCACGGTCTGTATCCCCTTTACCTGAATCTGGGCTGGCTTTCACCAACAAAATGAGGTAGAAGAAATGGTGACCAGTTCTAAACCTAGCCTTTGTTTTGTTTGTTTGTTTGAGACAGTGTCTCATTTGTCGCCCAGGAAGGAATGAAGTGAGGTAATTGTAGTTCACGTGGCCTCAACCTTCTGGGCTCAAGTGATCCTCCCACGTCAGCCTCCCAAGTAGCTGGGACTACAGGCATGACCTACCATGCCTGGAAAACTTTTATATTTTTTATAGAGATGGGGTCTCACCATTTTGTCCAGGCTGGTCTTGAACTCCTGGGTTCAAGCAATCCTCCCACCTCAGCCTCCCAAATTGCTGGGATTATAGGCATGAGCCAACGCACCAGACCTAAACCTACCCTTTAAAAAAAACTGGGAATTTTCACTATCTCCTTCTTGGAAGCCAGTTACCATATAAGAAGTTCTACTATCTTGAGATCACCATGGTGACAGGAAATACAAGCTAGGCATAAAGACAGGATATACACATGATGCCCCACCATCCCCCAGCTGGTCTCAGCCATTCCAGGTGAGATACCACAATGGAGTGAAGAACCATCTTCGACATTCCAGTCCTACAGATAGTGTAAACAGAGGAACCACCCAGCTGAGCCTTGACCAGGTTTTAGAATTGCAAGAATAATAAATTATTGTCTTAAGTTACTAGGCTTTGGGGTGGTTTGTTATTCAACAATAGAAAACCAAAACAAGAATGTAAGATGCTACTAGAAACATCTCCAAGTTACAGTACCAAAGAACAGTGCCATTTTCATGAAAAATGGATTTCAAATACTAGCTACAGTACAGAGTTAAGACAGAAGCATGGAGGAGATACACTATGCTGCAATCTCGTTTCCACCATCACCCTTCTACTCAGTCAATGCCATGAAAGAGGTCAAGTAAGATACAGTAAATGCCTGTTGGATCTTGAGAGTAGTTTGCAGTGTCTTACGAAAAACATTCTACTGATCATTTAAGGACTCAGCATAAACATTACTTTATCCATCCATCTATCTATTTATCCACAGGTTACTGGGTCCCTACATTTTTCCAGTCACTGAGATAGCAGCTGGAGACACAAAGTTTAATAAAATATAGTTGCTGTTCTTTTAAAGCTTACAGTCTGATGAAGGAGGAAGATAAGGAAATAAATTATTAAAGTATGATAAGTACAGAAGGGTATAGAGAAGAGAGTACAGAAGCACAGGATAATATGCAAGAAAAAAGTAGGGAAGTCTAAATTCAATAAGGTAGAGGAGAGGACTTCAAGAAAAGGTACACTGAGGGAAAGTTGCAATTTAGCTTAAGCTAAATTGTAAAAGATGAGCACAAGTTGTATTCAGTACAAAAGGAAGAGAAACATGAAGATAAACTTGCCCTTGGGAAGTTCAAAGCACAAAATTAAGATATTATAAATGAGATTAGCTCTTTGCAAAAAAAAGTCCATTAAGTCCTAGAACTAAAAATATATTTTAAGTCAGAGGAAAAACTGCCTAAAACTCTCACTGACTTTGAATTAAACAACACTAAAACTCCACATCTGGGATAAGAATGGGCCAACGAAAGAACCAGGTTTTCATGGCTGGAGCAATTCTTTATCACTATTTAAGAGAAAGGTTGGAGCTGGGTGTGGTAGCTCACACCTGTCATCCCAGCACTTTGGGAGGCCAAGGCAAGCAGATCACTTTAGGTCAGGAGTTCAAGACCAGACTAGCCAACATGGTAAAACCCCATCTCTACCAAAAAATAGCCAGATGTGATAGCTCATGCCTGTAATCTCAGCTCCTTGGGAGGCTGAGGCAAGAGAATCACTTGAACTCAGGAAGTGGAGGTTGCAGTGAGCCAAGACTGCAACACTGCACTCCAGCTGGACTGACAGAGTGAGACCCTGGCTCAATCAATCAATCAATAAAAAATAAAAGAAAGGTTGGAACCCATGTGGGAAGGGAGGACTACCAGGCTTGGCACCAATGGGGCCATCAACATTTGATACCACCAGCTGCTAAGGTCTTCTAATTCATGGCCCTTGTTCTGCATACAATCTCTCTGAGCCACTTGTTTATAATATGCTTCTCATTTAGGCTTTCCTGCTGGGAGAA